TAGCTAATGGGGCCTTCCGCTGCTGCCACACTGCCACCCCGTGATTTCTGTTCTCATCCTGAAGCAAAGTTCTTAACCAGAGGTACTATTTCTGGGTTAGCGGAGTCTGTAACCTGAAGCATCTGTAACCCGAGGTACCACTGTATTTATTGTAGTGATTTTGAAGCATTCCAGATGTGGAAAATCTTGAATCAGACCCTGAGAAATACCAATTTCACAAGAGACAGAAGTGTATGCAGGTTGGTTTTTTTAAAAACCATGCTGTGCTTCCCTACCTGCAGTCTTTGATTGGTCTTTGGAGAAAAGATGATGGAGGGCACAGACTTCGTTTGCACATACCAGTAACTTTAAACCAAGGGTGAGCAACCTTTCTTCACCTGAGGGTTGTATCCCCTTCTAGGGGCCATATGCCAGAAGTAAAAGTGGGTGAAGCAACGGATGTCAGTTTACTTACACATCTCTCTGAAAGCCAGAAGCATAATAAGATTTCAAGGTCAAATTCAAAACTCTCAATGAGGGTGTAAATCTGGGCTGGTGAAAGGTGTGGCTGTGGAGAGCATTTGGTCTAGGGAGAGTCCCGAGGGCCAGAGAGAGAGTCCTGAGGGCCACATCCCATCAGCAAACCTGAGGTGCCCCATCCCTACTTTAAAAATATAATTTGGCTTAACCATGGTTTGAAAGTGAACACACAGTGTACTGGCGCACAGGGCTAAAATTGCTGGCCCTTAAATCCTCACTCACTGCAGACCCAGTCTTGTGGTTTTTGTCTCTCCAAAAAAAGCCACAAGCAGTAATCCAAGAACAAGCCTTGGCTACAGCTTGTGGTTTGTTTGGAGAGGAACAAACCATGAACCTGGATTAGGATGAAACGTTAAACCAAATAATGACCTATCTCAGCAGGAGCAGGGGAGGAGTGCAGCACCCGTGATTTTCTACCTGGGCACCAGAGCACTGCACGTTCACCATTAAACCATAGTTAAGTTTAATATACACATACAGACCTTTTAGATGTTTACAAGTGGAAACTTCGACAAAATATTATGGTGAGTATAAAATACTCCCGTTTAGGGTAGCAGGGAGCCGTGTCCATTTCCAGGCTACTCCATTCCATTTTTCTGTCTGGTTTTTATTCCACCCCCATTTACAGGCACTTGCTGTTGTGTGGACACTTGGAATGCTCAGCCCTCTTTGAACTGTTTTTGGGGTCCCCCATTGTGGTGGGGGAGTCAAACCCTGAAAGATGCAAAGGGACTTTTTCTGATTAATCACAGTTTGATTGTCTCATATCTCAGGTTCTACAAATGGCTTTTGGAGGAAGATGTACTGTTGGACTGACATGCAGTAGTTATTCTTATGATATCTTAAAAGTAGGGAGTGGGTGGGATTTTTTAAAATTAGTTTTCCTGGCAAGAAAGGAAGAGCTTTAGAGCTCCATGATTTTACTGCATATGTCTGTGAGGCCTTTATGGAAATCAATGTGAGGTCAAGCAGTTGATGAAGCTTTATGGAGTTGTTACGCTTGCTGATTTAGAAGCACAGAAGAGAAAGCTAAATAAGAGCAAGGGAGTCCGTTAATGCGTTCCGTGTCTGAGTTAACATCTTTTGCATCCTCGGGGCAGTAGCATTCACTTCAGATTTTTGTTCTGAGGATTTTTTTTTAAAGAGTTCTTCACATTTATAACCCACCTTTCCCCATAGCAAAACTAATGAAGAGCTTTGAGGGCTACTTCTTGTAGCCATCCATGCATGGTGAGGTATCTTTTTTAATAAAAGGAATAATTTTTATTAAAGGTTTACAAAAGTACGTGCATTCTCCCTTTTCTCAGGTTGTGGGGTCTTTTCTACAGATCAGTTACATTTGATTTGAGACTTTAGTGTTGTAAGCAATATCTTTTCTATTGGTTCACCCTGCACAGATTCCACCATGATTTGTACATAGTGCTTGGTAACCAAGTGAGATATATTGGAGTGGTTGGGTGAATGGTGGATGTTTGTGTATATGGGTGAACATGTGGGAGCAGATTGGGGTGGGTGACATTGACTGAATACTATTGTATGTTTTGTGTAGGCAGACTTTGGGTGTGATGTAGTATTTTGAGCCACTGGCTGTGTACATTCAAAATGCACGCACACACATCAATCCTGGGAACTGTAATTCCCCTGTCACCGAGCTACAGTTTCTAGCACCTTAATAAATTGTTGTTCCCAGGATTCTTGGGCAGGGGGAACTTGCTTTAAATGGATGGTTTATATGCATCCAGGATGTGCCTTGGCAAAAGAGAGGCTGAAGAGGGAAGGATCCCTGTCTCTAAACACGTTTCAAAATGTGCTGCTAAGTTTTTCGTTTTTATTTTGGATTTATGTTCAGAATGCAGATGGCTGATTGCATGGAAAGCTAGTGTGTTGTTGTTTTTGGGTTATATAGGAACATAGGACACTACCTTGCACCAGGTCAGAGCAGGTGTCAATTTAGCAGAGTGTTGCCTATTCTGATTGCAAGCAACTCTCCAGGGTCTCTGGCAGAAGTCCTTCCCATTACATTTTGCCTGGTCTTTCTAAACTGGAGGTGCCAGAGATTGAACCCAGGATCTCCTCCACGTTATGCATGTGCCATCCCAATGAGCTGTGGTGCCTCCCCAAGGGACCTCCCTCTAATCTAGCTGTTTCCCCTATGTATGGTTCCAGTGTGATCAGCTTCATGCACAATAGACCCTTATGAAGAAGATGCTCTCGCTGCCCGTAAATATCGCAGTGCATCGAGCAATTCCTGCTTGCTTCTAAATTATTTATTTGTACTTCATTCTGCTTGCCAAGATGGCATTTGTTGGTTTTCGTTTCTGGGCTTTGCCTTGCATGTTCACAGGGATAGCACTCTCAGCAGTTTTTTGTTTGGCTTGGGTTGTAAAATTGTTGCTTTTTGTTATGAAGGCTCTCCTGTGCAAGAGGGCAAAACCAAAACCTATTCACACACGAACACATACACAAATATCACTGATCTGTTCTGGTTGCTCAGCAGTCACTAAGGCTTGAACTATTTCTTACCAAAGTGTGCAAAGCTCATAATTTAAGTTTTCAATCCAACTGGGTTAAAAACCAATTACAGTGGTACCTCGGGTTATGAACTTATTTCGTTCCGGAGGTCCATTCTTAACCTGAAACTGTTCTTAACCTGAAGCACCACTTTAGCTAATGGGTCCTCCTGCTGCTGCCACGCTGCCGCTGCGCGATTTCTGTTCTCATCCTGAAGCAAAGTTCTTAACCCGAGGTACTATTTTTGGGTTAGCGGAGTCTGTAACCTGAAGTGTCTGTAACCTGAAGCATCTGTAACCCGAAGTACCACTGTACTTAACTTTTGAAAGGATAAAATACTTAGGGTAAAGGAGTTCGATACATGTTTTTAAAAGCATTATATGAGAATAGATCCTAAGCATAAATGTCTCTTATAAACATTAACATACTGGGTGGCCAGATAAACAAATTGGCCCTAGAGCTTCTGCTTATTAGGGTTGCCAACCCATGCAAGTTTCATTTTAATCATGATAACATGATGGTGAACCAGCGGTTGTAAATTGCACCTTTGTACATTTGGCTGGTTTCTGCACACACTTGCACACCCCTCTCCATCCTATGTCTGGGCAACCCAGAGGCAATGCCAGATTTTAAGGCGAAAACTCTTAAGGGAAGTGTAATGCTGGGCTGGTGAGAGGTGTTGCCTGTGGAGAGTTCTGAGGGCCAGGGGCTCTCCATTTGGCCCCTACCCTTATCATAAACCATAATTTCTGGTGGGGAAACAAACCACAGAGTGACAGGCTTAGCATTGTGGCCTTATATTTAGATTTGCTGCAAACAAGCCGTTGATCTTAATCCAAGGTTTATTGTTTTGTTTAGAAACAAACCATGAGTGCTGGTGCAGACATAAAACTGTGCCACTCTGTGGTTTGCTTCTGTGGTTTGCTGAAGAAAAGGAGGAGCAGAGTGGATGCGTTTGAGTTTGTGCACAGACTTATTGAGCACCTTCCTGACTGCTTCAGGGAGCTGCGCAAGGCCCCATATCCACTATGAAGGACCTACTGGTAGATTAGGGATGGGGCCCCCTGTAGCCTTCCTGTCATTGTGGGACTCCCAATTCCCATCATTGCTAGCCAACGTGGTCAGTGGTTAAGGATTATGGGAGTTGTAGCCCAACAACATATGAAGGGTCACAGGCCTTAGATCTGCTAGTCACCTTTGGAAGCTCAAATGGCTGTGAGAGAACCTGGTTTGGCCCAAGAGATGTTGCCTGAGGGGAACAGCAAATGCCTCTCATGGTGCTTCCATGTTCAAGACAGACCCAAGTTAGGCCCCATCTGCATTTTACATTTCAGGAAGTATCATACCACTTGTAACAGTCATGGCTTCCCCAAAATAATCCTGGAAACTGTAGTTTGCGAAGGGTCCTGAGAGTTGTTAGGGGAGTCTTACTCCCCTCACATGAGCTATAGTTCCCAGAGCTACCTGGAAGGAGAGCTTGGTTGTTAATCCACACTGGGTTATAATCACAAACTGATGTGGAAATGTAACAAACTGAATTTTAGCCTGGAAAGTGAAAGAAACTGAAATTGACAACTTTGCCTCTCTTTATTACATATTGAAATGGTAATTTATTTTAATTTATTTATTTTAATATGGAACTGCATGTCCCCCCCTTATTTTTAAATTGTAATTATATTGTTTAGTTTTTGGAGGAGGAGGAAGATGCTTAATAATACAGTATCATTGTATTTCTTCCACTAAGCCTCTCCTTGCTATAACACCTCTGAGGACCAGTTCAAACATTCATTCACTCAAGTGACACCAGTCCTCTCACAAGACAGCACCACTTCAGTTTTCACATGGTCAGATGTTTAGGTGGAAGTGAAGACACCCCTTCAATCTTGTCACAGTGTCCATTTGATAGCTGTCATTTTCCACTTATATATATATCACGTTTTTCTGTTTGATTTTTTTTTTGGCCCATGTAGAAGTTCATTGAATTTGAAGATGCACTGGAGCAGGAGAAGAAGGAATTGCAGATACAGGTTGAGCACCTTGAATTTCAAACACGGCAGCTGGAGTTAAAGGCCAAAAACTACGCAGACCAGAGTAAGTGAAAATCATGTGCACGGTTTGTCTGAAGTTCTGCGAATCATACACAAGTTGTGTTGAATTCAATAGGGGTTTGTCCATACTGATTGAACAAATTGCAATGGTGAGGAACCTGTGGTTCTCCAGATGACATTGGACACCAGCTCCCATCAGCACCAGCCAGTATTGCCAAAGGGCAGGGATGATGGGAGTTGTAGTCCAACAGTACATGGAGGGCTACAGGTTACAAATCTCTTCTAAAGCATTTACTGTTTTTAAAAATCTTCTATCCTAGGTGACCACAAAATATCTGTAGAATTGAGGGAAGAGGGAGCCAGTATTGCTTTTGCCATTCTGTGCTCACACACATACACACCTGTCTGAGCCAGTAAAATGGATCATCTTGAAATCGCTTATTTTTTCACAGGGCTTATTTTAACCACCACTATCAAGTCACAGATCACACCAGTCTTTGTTGACTTTGTTGATCCAGTGCTTTACAGCGCTGCCATGGGAGAAAAGTACAGATTAAAGGCATGGGTACTTATGGATTCTCATATTTTTCAAGCGACCCCCCTCAAAACCACCATCAAATCATAGTTTTCTTCGGTGTTTACAGATGTGCCATGTGATCTGTTGGTGCTGCTGTTGTCATCCTTGTGAAGAACCACGAGGCTCTATACCTTGGATTATCATTTCTATGGCAAATCCTGATCTGCAGTTTTTTAGTGTGTAGTCCTACCAACGCAAGCTCTAATTTGATGATGGTTTTTCGGGGAATCTGCATACAATCATGCGACTTCAACAGGATCGGCTTCGGTCCTACTGAACCCAGAGACAGAGTTTGTCCATTCTTGGATTTAGGAGAGGCGCATTCAGACACTGTTTCAAAATTCCAGATAGGCTCTTAAAGGTTGCTGACCGATGATCTATGCTATCCAGGGTTTCGGGAAGGGTGGCGCTGTGGGTAAAAGCCTCAGCGCCTAGGGCTTGCCGATCGAAAGGTCAGCGGTTCGAATCCCCGCGGCGGGGTGCGCTCCCGTTGCTCGGTCCCAGCGCCTGCCAACCTAGCAGTTCGAAAGCACCCCCGGGTGCAAGTAGATAAATAGGGACCGCTTACTAGCGGGAAGGTAAACGGCGTTTCCGTGTGCGGCTCTGGCTCGCCAGAGCAGCGATGTCACGCTGGCCACGTGACCCGGAAGTGTCTCCGGACAGCGCTGGCCCCCGGCCTCTTGAGTGAGATGGGCACACAACCCCAGAGTCTGGCAAGACTGGCCCGTATGGGCAGGGGTACCTTTACCTTTACCTTTTATCCAGGGTTTCAGACTGAAGGCCCTTAGCTTAGAGGAAAGGAACAAGCAATCCTATTTTAATGTGACCTCTGTGTTCCCCTTTATTTAATAGAATTATTTTTTTAAAGAGAAAGGGTTCTCTCCTTATCGAGATCACAATTTTAATAGGTTTAATCATTTTTATTAAATACAGAAGGCACATACCTGTATGAAAACACACACCCCTGAAACATAAATGAAGAAGATCACAGGGATACTCAAAACAATAATTGACAGCAGGGGTGGATAAAAGATCCTGGATTCCATCCCTCATGTCTACAGTTGGGAAGGACTCCTGTCTAAAACACTGGACCATTGCTGCCAGTCAGTGTTGGTTATACTGAGCTTGATGAACTAATGGCCTGACTCCATGAAACAGCTTCCTAGCTTGAGTCTTTCCTAGACCTACCTAGAGGTGCCAGTGATTCAACCGGGTACCTTCAGCCTGTCACGCCTCGGCCATAAGCACTGAGCTACAAATGGCATTCTTGTGCTTGCACCCTCATTCCTTTTGGTGTTTCCATGTTCACCCCTCCTGGAGATGATAGATCAAAAAAATTATCTTTCTCTCCCTTCTCCCTTTTATTTTCAATGAACAGTTTCCAGGTTGGAAGAGCGTGAATCAGAAATGAAGAAAGAGTACAATGCTCTTCACCAGCGTCACACAGAGGTAAGTCGGCATTTCAGAGGGATAAAAATCTTTTTCAAACTATTTGCATAAGAAGTGGAGAAGGGCACAGATAGAGGAAGAGAGCTCTGCAAGCCTGTAATGCTGTAAATTCTGCTCACTCTTGACTCTGGTGCTCAGTTAACTTCTGCTTTGGGCCAGCTGCTTTTCCTAGAGCAAACGTTTCCCACAACTCGCTGGCTTTTCTGATCCTTAAGGACATCCCTTTCTTTGAAAGAAATGGTTGTCCAGAAAATAAAATGTTGGGGTGTTCAATCTTCATTTTGGCCCTTCATTTTGCATTTCCCCGCTCCTTTCGCAGATGATCCAGACCTATGTGGAACACATTGAGCGATCCAAGATGCAGCAAGTTGCTGGAAATAGTCAGAATGAGAGTGGACTACCTGGAAGGAGGTAATGCTGCACCTTGGCTTTGCACCTGGAAAACAAAACTAAACTTAGATGACTTCTGAACTGTGAATATATGTTTTAGGAGGAAGGCACTGACCCAGTCTCCTGTGCTCTCTGAGTGACTAAAAGTAGCAGTAGCTGATCTCTTTTATGGCTGGTGTCCCTAAGTTTGATTGCAAACCATTCTTCTTCTTGTTAATAATAATAATAATAATAATAATAATAATAATAATAATAATAATTAATCCACTCTTCACCCTGAGGTCCCACAGTGGGTTACAATAAGTAAAATGCAATATTAAAAACAGTTTAAAATAACTTAAAATCACAGAAATAAGGTGGGTCCTAAACATGGGTCTTGGGAACAGTCAATGAATCAGTCTGCTCCTTTGATCCTCAGCCAGCTCTGAGCGCGCTGGATGGTGAGGGGGGAATTCAGGAGAAGAATGGGAGTCAGGTGACAAACTGGATCTGAGGTCCCAGGCCTTTATCGAATAGCGGTGAAGGGAGGGTGTTGTTTGAAGCAGAAGGAGTGGTTAGTGGGAGTGCTCAACCCTTCCCCCGAGCTGTGGTTTCCCCCTCCCCAACAACCTTCATATTCCCCCCCCCCAAGATAACACACAGGGGGCCAGAGCTTCCTCATCTCTGTCTTATGCAGTTGTGTTCAACCTTGGGTCTCCATATGTTGTTGGACTACAACTCCCATCCTCAGCCAGTGTAGCCAACATTCAGGGATGATGGGAGTTGTAGTCCAATAACCTCTGGGGACCACTGTAATAGACAAGTAAGGGAGAGATCTGTGATTGCGGTGTTCATTTGTGTCTCTTGCATTTTGTTTGTTTACCAACCAACCATTTGTTGAGATAAGTGAAACAATGGCAACACCAGTTTCTTGCTCCGTATTAGGCAAGTTATCCATCTTTTTAAAGCCCCTTTGGGCACTGGTGGGTGGCTTGCTTCCTCGGAAGATAGAAGACTACGCCTGGGAGTCTCCTTTAACCAGCTATCCAGAGTCAAGGGGGCTTTTCCTTCATTCCAGGCTGCGCCTTGTACACACATGGCTCAAGAGCTGCAAACCTGTTTCACCATAAACCTTCCCTCTGCTTGCTCTCCATATAGCTTTTGTGTCTCCATCTGCTTAGCCTCTTAGGCCCCATCTGCACAATGCATATAAAGCACTATGATACCACTTTAAACAGTCATGGCATTCCTCAAAGAGTCCTGGGAACTGTGGCTTGCTAGGAGAGCTGAGAGTTGTTCGGGCACCCCATTCCCCTCACAGAGCTGCAATTCCCAGAGATTCCTGGGAAGGGAAATTAATTGTTAACTCATTCTTGGGACTCTGTGAGGGGAATAGGAGTCTTCTAACATCTCTCAGCACCCTACAGTTCCCAAGATTCTTTGAGAGAAGCCATGACTGTTCACCACTTTAAATCTACAATGCAGATGCGGCCTTAGAGAGGTGAGAACATGTCGTAGACTTCATGTGTGTTTGTGATGCAGCGTGCCTTGCCGCTCTCTAGATTGTTTTTGTGTATTGTTGCACTTTTGTATGCCTTTGGACTTCTTGTTTTCAGCCTCACCTCCAGCTCTCAACTCAGAGCTGGTGAGAGAACCAGGAGATTCTCTCCCTACCTTAGAGGTGTGGCAGGGAGATTATGGCAATTAGAGTTTTGGGGAGGTTGTCAGCAGGACAATCCAACATTCACTAGCCCTGCTTAAAGACCTTCACAGCTTGGGACTCGGGTACCTGAAGAACCACTTGTCTACATCTGTTCACCTGAAAGCTATGGGTTTCACCAGAGGCCCTTCTCCAAGCCCCCCTGCCATCAAAGCTGCAGTGGGGTGTTTACTGAAGAATGGGGCTCCCTGACTGTTGAATGCTCACCTGGCCCCAGGCACCTCCTTTGCTGTACTCTTGGCCCCAAAGACCTTCGCATTGCACCAAGCTTTTAACTCCATTCTGTTTTCTCTGGGTTATATCCAACGTTATTCCTATGCAGAGCAGATGCATATAAATTAATAGGAGTGACTAACTTTGGCCCATTAATTTGAGCGGGGCTACTTTGAGTAGAACTTAGTTGTCTACAGTCCTCTGTCATTTTTATGCTGCTTATGTTTGCTTTATCTCTGCTGGTGTGTGGACTATCCCAGATCTTGCTGGACTACAACTCCTATCATCCCTGACCATTGACCCTACTGGGTGGGGCTGATGGGAGTGTGAATCCAACAAAGTGCAAAGTGCCACAAGCCCCCCCCCATCTCTGTTTTAAATGCTGTTGCTTTTGATGCTTTTGTTTTCAATCACTTTTTATTGTTTATTTTAATTATTTGTTGTCTACACTGATGGAGTGTGTAAAAAAAGAAGAAGCAAAAACTCACTCACCCCCTTTTTTATAAAAAAAAAAATCACAATATGGAGACAGCCATCAGCCAGCTATGCAACTGGGGCTGCCGCTTTCCCCAGTTACTGAAGTTGCAGAAGAAGATGCAGCTCTCTGTTTGCATTGCAGACTGCTTTAGGTGACATCTGCACCATACATCTAAAGCATTATGATACCACTTTCACAGACATGGCACTTCCCAAAGAATCATGGGAACTGTGGCTTGTTAATGGTGTGTTGAAGGTTTTTAAGAGGCCCCTATTCTCCTGAGCTACAATTCCCAGAGGTCCCTGGGAAGAGGGACCAGTTGTTAAAACCACTCTGTGACCTACCAGAATGAAGGAATAAATAATATTCTGCACGATGCTAATTTTGCAATGGACCGATCATTATGCAGATTTTTGCCTGCCTGTCTACATTTGCTTGCTTTGCAGTATATTATTCTGTTAGAGATAGTGAAGCACTATGTGAGGCAATAAAGGCCTCACTTTTGGAGAGCCTGTTCAGCCCCCCATCCCTGATCTGGCTTCTGAAATCTTATGAGGCCTTGCTTATGTATTTTCTTTACTGGCTTAAGGAACAGAAACTGCTCCCTAATCCTTTTTTCAAACTGGAGGTAAGTTTTAAGGCGGTGCCAGAAGGATGTTCCTGATAGCACCAGGCAGGGATGAACATTCCACAGATGGGGAGCTACATCTGCAAAGGCCCTCTCCCTCTCTTGCCACCCCCTGAACCTCCCTCACTGGACTGTATGTATCACCATTGTGTGTTCCAGACCCACTGCATGTTCGTTAGGCTGGGTGTTTTATGTGTGCCAATGTCTCAATCTCTCCTCAGGCGAGCATTTCTGTGAGCACATAACGACATATGTGTGTGTGTGTGTGTGCTTGCATGACTGTTGCACTCTAATGGTTATTCTCTTGTCTTGCTTCTTGTGCCGTTGCCTTTCTTGTGTGGGCTGCTCTCTGTTTGTCACTTCAGTCACCGCCAGTCATGGAGGAAAAGGTAATTTGGGAGAATCTGTATCTGTTGGGTTGGGAACTCTTTCTTTGCGGGGGAGTAGCTGTGACCATTAACAGCGCTTTTGCTGTTTTGTGTTGATGTGAGACAAGCTGGTGGGTCAAGGCAGGACAGCCTATTTCCCTAGGCTCTAAAGAGGCAGAGGAAATGGTCTCAGGTCACACCAACATATGTTTGACGAAGAACAGGGTCCAGCATTTGAACTGGGCATCGCTGCAGCACCTGATATCCTCACACAGCAGCCAGGGCCACACCTGCACCATACATTTAAAGCCGTATTATACCGTTTTAATAATCATGGCTGCCCTCAAAGAATCTTGGGAATTGTACTTTGTTAAAAGTGCTGAGAGTTGTTAGGAGACACCCCTATTCATGTCACAGAGGTACAATTTCCAGAGTGGCTTAGCAATTACTCTCTCTCGGGGAATCCTGGGAATTGTAGCCTTGTGGGGGGGAATAGGGGTCTCCTAACAGATCTCAGCACCCTTAAAAAAACTACAATTCCCAGGATGTTTTGAGACAAACCATGACTGTTAAAGTGGTATCATTGTTCTTTAAATATATAATGCAGATGTGGCCTAGGATTCCACTGCCATAGTAGGGCCTACCGAAGCCAGTGACTGCCTTTGGCTTTCCATCCTTCCTAATGCCTGAGGCCTGGGATTACAGAGTGGTAGCAGAAGGCAGCTGGGAAGCTGCAATTTAAAAAGGCCCATAATGCCCCAGGGCAGCTCTCTGTCAGGGCATTGTGGGTAATTGCAATGAAGAGCAGTTCATAGCTGCCCGCTACAGAGTGCAGTTTCCAAGCTGTTTGCCACTGCCTACAAGCTCACTTGGTGGGGCTGGGGTGCAGTGGGGCCATGGAGGCTACTTTCCCGTGGTGCCCTCACACTTGGCGCTGGCACTAGTTCGAATCCTGACAGAGGTCACTGCAATGGGTAGACTTGCAGTGCATCTAGGAAGAGCTAGGTGTCCTTGGAGCAGAGGTGGGCCACCTTTCCCCCCTGAGGGCCACCTGTAGTCTGTGGGTGTGGCGGGGGGAGGAAAGCATTTGACAGGTAGGTTGCTTCTAACAGTCTTAGCTTTCGTCAGGCATTCAAGCCTAAGGTTAGAGATCACTTCAAAGACAGGAAACTGCAAGCAAGCTGGAGTCAAACTTCAGACAGATCCAGGAAGTTCACAGGCCTAAAAGCCTTTGTAACTTGTCCCGGGCAATGGATTGGCCTTTCACTTTCACCTGACATCCCTGGCCATGCTTATAGAGCGAGATGAGCGCCACAACCCCGGAGTCGTCCGTGACGGTCAGGGGTCCCTTTCCCTTTAGCAACATCCTTTAGTGAAGCCTGGCCAAGCATGTTATATCACTATACCCAAATGCTGCTAAGATCACCAAATAAAAGCCCCTCTTTTGTCTGAGACACATGTACCTGGTTCTCACTGGGACCCTCATTATAGCATCAAAAGAGTTGCTTCCCTCCCAGGATAAATAGTAAATTCAGAAGTGGGTTGTGGTTGGCTCTGGGTGATGTCAAAGCCTTCTTCACCCATATCGTAGTCCCAGTCCAGAATCACCGCCCCCCACCAAGCAAAAACGACTTGCTTAAAAAAACAACACAGGCAAATGCAAAGATTCATATAAGGTAATGTGTGGCCTTATCAATTATTTTTTTCTTGGAAACTACTGGCAATCAGTTTCCTTGACTGATCCCAATTTATCTGAGTGGGGGTGGGGGAGAAATCCCTCCCCCTATTCAAGTGTTGGATGCACCAGCACAGACATTCATGTCTTCAAGCGAGAAAATCTCCTGTTGGGCAATTTTGTCACCATTTCCCCACTCCCACGCCCACCTACAATTAAATTTGTTTGTCTCGACACGCACACACCCTTTTGCTGGTTTGACTTCTCACTTTCAAAGGAGTTTGAGCATGCCTCACCAGCCCTTTCGTTCACTGCCTTTGCTCTTCGGATTTCCGGGGGTTTTGAGTTCCATTACAGCAGTTTCACACAAGGTCACAAGCAGACTGCTCGTAACTGCCTCTCAGCTGGATCCCTGGGGAAATGGTTTTCTGTGTTCAGCAGAAGCGGTGATCCGTACCAGGAACAGCAGGGGAAAGTCTTGAGGCTTTGCTGCAGCACCAGCTTTGGCATAAGCTCAGAGAAGCTCAAGTGCAGTTAAGGCTGCCAGTCTATAGAGCGTTGCATGAAACTCCACCTCCGCTCCCTGCTCAATTCATGCTGGAAGAAAAGTGTTTTGCAAGTTCAAAGCTGCCCTACTCCCCTTGCCAACATAGAGGTTCTAGGCTGAGGATGGGGAACCTCTGGCATGAGGTTGGAGTTCGCTTCCCATCAGCTCCAGCCACCATGGCCAACAGTCAGGGATGCATTTGATTTTTATTTTTAATTTATTCAAAGTTATATGCCGATTGAAATTATCAGTAACAGCAGCAAAAAACCAAACCAACCAACAAAAAACTAAAAACTCATGAGACTGTAGTGACAGCAATGGATCTAGGATCACCCCTAAACTAAACACCTATTTCTTCAGAGGAAGTGCAGTTCCATCTAGGGCAGGTACCCAGCCCAATTCCTGGGGTTGGTGTGTGAATCCTGTGCTGAAAGGTTTAAAATTCCACACCAGGAAATACAGAATTTTGTGAGTAGTACAAACCACGCAGATTTGCATTATGTCTCCCTATTTTTCATAAATTATTCTACAGTTTTATTCATTCATTTGCCTTTTTGTACAATAAGGTCTGGTTTGACTTCAGAAGGATTGTTGCTCACTGGTGCAGAGCACACACTTTGCATACCAGTGATCCATAATTCAATCTCTGGTATGTTCAGGTAGAGCCAGGAAATACTCTTTCCTGAGACCCAGGAGAGCTGCTGCCCATCAGCATAGACCAGGCATAGCCAACATGGCAGCCTCCAGGTGTTGCTGTACTACAACTCCCATAATCCCTGGCCATGCTAGCTGGAGCTGATGGGAAGTTCCACAACATCTGGAGGGCACAATGTTGGTTACCCCGGTGTAGACAGTGTTGACCTAGATGGACTGTTGTTCTGCTCTGGTATAAGGCAGCTTCCTATCCACTATTCATGGAACTATGCAGGTGCCAATGCCCCCAACTGCTTCAAAATGTATGCCACCATCCCACTGGCTTCAGAGATTTCAGCAGGTACATACACTTTGGAGCATATTTTCACACCCAGATGTCTGGAAACTTGGTGTCTGTTTTTTAAAAGGACTTTCCACTTCTTGGGCAGTTGAATCTTATGGGAATGTTAATGGGTTGTCCTTGGGATACTTGGCCCACTCTTAACTATGATGGGTTTGTTTTGCTGCTTTCTCCACGTCAAGGATTTGCTGGTTTCCTAACTCTTTCCCATGCTCTCTCTTTCTCTCCTTGTCTCTCTCTGACTTTCCTTTTCTGTCTCTAGCATGAAGAGGCGTCCCAATTCTCTGAACATCCCCCTCACAGATGACATGGTACGTGGGCAGGTGGGCGCCAAGATGGCCCCCGCAGTGGACCACTGGCATCTGAGTGACCTCGGCCAGCTGCAGTCCAACTCCGGCTACAAGGTTTTTCTAACACCATCATGGAAGCGAGGGCATCCTTGCCTACTTGTCAGCAGCACCTCCATCAGGACAGAGAGACCTCGTGTGTGTCTGTAACCCTTTGCAGCTCATAGCCATTTCTTTGCTGATGCTTTGCTCAGCTAAACTCCTGTGTGTGATGAGTGTTCTTTTCCTAAAGTTTGTGGGGATTTTTTTGCCTGGGGCAGCAGTATTTTAACATTCGCCCATCAGCTAGCATACACTCAAGGTGCTTCCATCAGGACAATTTTATTATGGACTCAATGTTGCCCCTGCTCAGAATTTCTTTTTGCAGTCTCCATGTTGTCCTAAAAATACTACCCTCTGCTTTTTCTTCATATAATCATATAACCCAGATTTACTCTCACCCCACAGAAAATCCAGTTTTAAAAAACCCATTATATATCTGCAGTTATTGGTGTGCCAGCTCCTAGGCATAAATTGTTTGGTGGGTAGTTTGTTACATGCATGGCAATGCATAAATGGCTTCCCTCAAAAATCGTATCAGGAGTCCCCTATTTCTGACATAGAGCTCCAATTTCCATGGCTCCCCAGGAAGATGGACTGATTATTAAGCTACTCTGGAATTGTAGCTCTGTAAGGGGGAATGGGGGACGCGGGTGGCGCTGTGGGTTAAACCACAGAGCCTAGGGCTTGCTGATCAGAAGGTCGGCTGTTCGAATCCCCGCGACAGGGTGAGCTCCTGTTGCTCAGTCCCTGCTCCTGCCAACCTAGCAGTTTGAAAGCACAAAGTGCAAGTGGGTACCGCTCTGGCAGGAAGGTAAACGGCCTTTCTGTGCGCTGCTCTGGTTTGCCAGAAGCGGCTTAGTCATGCTGGCCACATGACCCGGAAGCTATACGCCGGCTCCCTCGGCCAGTAAAGCGAGATGAGCGCCGCAACCCCAGAGTTGTCCATGACTGGACCTAATGGTCAGGGATCCCTTTACCTTTACCTTTACCTTTAAAGGGGAATGGTGTCTGTCTCTTAACAACTCTCAGCACCTTTAACAAACTACAGTTCCTAGGATGCTTTATTGGGAAGCCGTGTAATATTTAGCCTAAATCCTTTTTGTTGTAACTTTTATTGTAATCCTGACCTGGATTTCCTCTCGTCTCTGCTGCTGCCTTTTGCTAAGAAGGAGATATGCTATGCCCTGTGCCTTTAAACCATTCATAGCTTCCTACCCCACAACAAAAAAAGGTTCCCTGAAGTTGGAAATGCAGTATATCACCAAGTATATCACATACTTGGTAACAAGGCTTTGTTGGGTTTGCCATATTTCTCCTCCCAAAAGAGTGATTTTAAGGTTTTGGAGCTGTTTCCACTGCTTTTTTCATTGCGTTGCCATACATCCAGGTTTTCCCAGACATTTTGCCAGTTTGGCTAAATCCCCCCCCCCCCGCCATTTTTACACCCAAAAACCAGCACATCATGAATTTTCCTGACATATGGCAAGCCTATGCTTTGTTCTCTAGTTGGCAAGGTGCAAACAAAATATCATCTAAGTGTTGTGCAAACAACATTCGGCACTAGTAAAACCATTAGGGAAATGAATGTATTGTTAGTAGAGAATTACATTACTCTGGTTTTTTAGTCTTTGATAGTACCTTTGTGATAGGATTTCTGCTGCTAGCTTGTTCTTGTTACACACCTGAAAACAATTGGTATCTAAGAACACATAGGCTACTTGAAGCTCGCCAGCACAGTATATAGAGGACTTGAAATTCTGCTGCTCATTAAAGCATGGCATCCTTGCCTTTAAGATTGTATGGCTGCAAAGGGTTAAGTGGCCATCTTTTCACAGTCTCCATTGTCATTTTGCTATGCTCTGTATGTATGTATGTGCGTGCATGTGTCAGCTGTGGAAGTATAGCTGGGTTTGCAGTAAGGGAATCCTTCTAGACTAATGTTAACAAGATCACCCCTGGCCTTGAAGAAATCACCATTCTGCAAATTGCCTGAACAAAAGCTAAGAGTTCAGTGGTGCTTCTTGTGTTCTTACTTAAGTGGCAGGGATTTGGTGTAGAAGTCAGAAGTGCCTCTAGAAAAGAGGGTCCCCTTTCCTCCAGGGCTAGTCCATTGCTGGCACTGGTCCCACAGTGGTTCCTATCAGCCATGAAGATAGCTGGAGGAGGACTCCACATGGTTCCTGCAGTGGCCAAATATGGTCCTCATCCAGTCTCCTAAAAATGAACTATGTACTATGGTCCTATAACATCAATGGGGAACTTGTGGTCCTCCAGATGTTTGGGTGAATAGGTATGGTTTTGTGTAAATGTGTGTCTTTGTTTCAGTTGCGCTGCTTTTCAGATGCGTATGTGCGTTAAGTCCTGTCCTGGCCCTTGCCTGGATCCTTTGGCTTGTTTGCTTCTGTAGTTTGCCCCTAAACAATGAGTCCAGCATTTGGTCATAATTATGAACCTTGCCACATCGGGGCAACAACAGCCAGTGTGGTCTAGTGAGTAGAGAGGTTTGGTGCCTTCTGACTGTGTGGTTGACTGTTCCTTATATAATAAGCAAGGGTCAAATTATAACTCAGGAAGATGGGATTCACTAGCACCCATAGATGACACAAGGCCTCCAACACATTGTGGCTCCTTGTGGGCCATTATTCACCATTAAGCACTCAGGCCAAGGGGTGAGCCAAACATATGACAAAAAAATCTGAGGCGTTCTGGAGAGAAAAGGAAAAAAGAGGATGTTACGTGAGGATATTAGGTATCAGAGAATAAAACACATAAACTAAACATGACTTTCCTTAAGCAGCACAGTGAATCTTAAAAGCTGCTAACGGGCCATTAAAAATCTTGGGAGAATTACAATATTTTTGTATGGTCTAATTAAATTTATCCTTCACAACAACCCTGCAAGGTAGGTTTGGTTAATGGTGACTTGCCCGAGGGCACCCACTTCTCTTAATTGCTAAATGGAGACTTGAACCCGGCTGTTTATAAAAGTCCAGACACAACATTCTAAACCACTGTACCACACTGGGCCTCATTTTTGTAGTGGCCGTTATAGGCTTTTTAGTGCATAGTGCTCGTATATCACAATGCTACAAGGCAGCCGCCTGACCAGTAAATGGGAGGAAAAATTAACTGATGCATGTGATTGCCTCCCCATCCCTTCTCTTCCCACCCCCTCCAAACTGCTGTGCCCCTAGTGCCCGCCTGATGAAATGTCTGAGTCTGGACAGTCCTCGGCAGCTGCTACGCCCAGCACCACCGGAACAAAATCCAACACACCCACCTCGTCCGTGCCCTCTGCTGCTGTCACCCCCCTGAATGAGAGCCTTCAGCCCATGAATGACTACATCACGTCAAAGAACAACAAGCGGTCGCGGGAGAAACGGAATAGTAGAAATATGGAAGTCCAGGTCGCCCAAGAGACGAGGAATGTGAGCATAGGTATGGCTGGCTATGTTTAACTTGTTTCCTGTAGGAATGTGAGATGTGGACATAACATTCCAAGAAGGAATTATTATCCCATAATGGTGTAAATTAGCATATTCCTTATTTTGGGGGCTGCAGTTAGATTGCGGTGCCCGGAGTTGAGCAAAGGACTGCCTCTTAAACCTAGCTAAGTGCGTGGATGTGTGTGTGGATGAAGAATTATTGGTGGCTGCACGAGATCTCTGCTGTTCTCTTTGGGTTGTCACCAATATCCTCCTTGATAAATGGAGGTGCAAATGCCCACCTCTGACCTGAAATGTTGGTTTGGTCTTCTTGACTATGAATATTTCCCTCTTTGCATTCCATCCTACAGGGATGGGGAGCAGCGATGAGGGGTCAGATTTTCAAGACATTGATTCTACTCCAGAGCTGGATATGTGCCAGGATCCCAGACTGGAACGCACAGGAAACAGGTTTGGGTGCAGACATTCCCTTTCTTTAGGCATGCTGCCCATGAGTGCAGAATGCAGCTTTTATTCATTTTGTGCCAGTCTGCAGCATTTCCATTCTTTTCTCTTTGCATGACAGCCCTACTCAGGGGATCGTGAACAAAGCCTTCGGCATCAACACCGACTCGCTGTACACTGAACTTACTGAAGTTGGCTCGGAAGCCATTGGCGATGTGGATGAAGGAGCGGACCTCCTAGGTAAAGCCTGCTTCAAGAGTGCTGCTTTTGAAATTCTTATCTTATTTATCACAACAGCCCTTTGAGGTAGAGTAGCTGGAGAGATAATTAGGTAAAGAGCTGGAAGAAGTCATGTAAGTCTTTATGGTCTAGAGCAGGGATAGCCAACAGCTTCCTGATATACGATATACGATATCTTTATTGTCATTGTCCCATGCGGAACAATGAAACTGGAAAACTACATAAAACATTCAAAAACCCCTAAAAACTCTGAACCCCCATTTTAAAATACACTATACTATAGAGACCCCTTATGCTGCGTTTAGAACCAGAATTGCATTTGTGTAAAAACTGTTTCTCAGGCGGCTAGTCCTGGCCTTTATAACCCTGTACCTTCTTCCAGAAGGCAGAAGCTGAAAGAGATCATTTCCGGGGTGCGCACTATCCTGCACTATCTCTGCCGCTTTCTTATGGCACCTGACAGCATAGATTTGATCCAAGGTGGGAAGAGTGCACCCAATTATTCTCTCTGCAGTCTTTACAACCCTGGACAGCATGGTTTTTTCCCTGGCCGTGCAGCTCCCAAACCACACACACAGACCATAAGTTAATACCTTTAGTTGTTGTAATCTAACTCCCATCATCCCTAACCATTGGCCAGGCTGGCTGGGGCTGATGGAAGCCCAGCAACATCAGGAGGGCACTGTGTTGGCTACCCCTGCTCTAGATAAGATGCAGAGATTGTGGTGATCAGATGTGATCAGCAAACATTGGGATGAAATAGAAAGGGCATTTCCCTCTGAATCATAGAATTGTAGAGTTGGACGTGACCCCAAGGGTCATCTAGTCCAACCCCCTGCGATGCAGGAATCTCAACTAAAGGATCCATGACAGATGACGGCCCAACCTCTGTTTAAATACCCCCAATGAATGAGAGGCTACCACCTTCTGAGGTTCCACTGCCAAACAGCTCTTAGCGTCAGAAAGTTCTTCCTAATGTTTAGTCGAACTTTCCTTTCCTGTCATTTATATGCATGTCGTCCACAGAATTCTGTGACGTCTATGCAAATTATGCAAATTAAAGCAGAGTTACATAAATTATTTTGCCTAATTTACTCTGCTATTTTAGACTTGGAGGAGGTGCCATGTAGGGCACTGTAGGGCACCTGTGCCTTTTTATGCTCTATTACTGGAAATCTCGCCCTATGTTTTTGCTTTTGAGATTTCACCACATATTGCCCACATCCTTTCAGGCATACCGCTTCCCAACTGTAAGGAATATAAAATTTTTAATGAACTGATTTTGGAAAACTGAATTCTGTGATCAGAATTGTGTTCTGTAGTTTTTCTTCCCCACGTGAGGAATTGCAGTCTACACATAGCCTTCCACGACAACGGCCCTGAGAAGTAAACAGTGTCAAATAAAATTAATAAATAGTTTACCTGCTATATTGCCAAGCTGCTAATAAAAGCAAAGGAACAAGTAGACCAGCTAATAAGTGTTACATTGATAGCCAAAAAAGTAGAATGCAGAATTATCAATGCCCAGAAGTCTTATTTAGCTGTCACTTCCAAAACTTTAATTTCCTTTCCTCATCTTGAATCCTTGTCACACACCAAATATATTTCCATGCTCAAATTCATGTTCACTACCACAGGTTCACTCCCTCTCCCCTGCAACATTCCCACTGAACACGGCTTGATCATGTATCACCATTTACGTTATCATTAGCTAAATTTATATTGTACCTATTCATTGGCCTGCTCAAGGGTAGCACACCAAATCAGTATTGCCAAAAGCAATGGCAACAGTCAGATAAAAATCATGGGTTGTATCCAGCTAAGGCCACATTTACTCCATACATGCACTATGATAGCACTTTAAACAGTCATGAGCTACGGGGAACTGTAGTTTCTTTAGTGTGCTGAGAATTGTTTGCAAAGCTCTATGCCCCTCACAGGGCAACAGTTCCCAGAATGGTTTAACGACCAATCCCTCTTCACAGGGAACTCTTGGAATTGTAGCTCTGTGAGGGTAATAGGGATCTCCTAACAAATCTCGGTACTCTTTAACAAATGCCAGTTCCCAGGATTCTTTGGGCTATGACTGTTTAAGGTGCTATGAGAGTGCTTTAAATGTGTGAATGTGGCTCAGGTTTTAGTCAGAGAAGACTCATTGGATTGTGCCCAGTGCTAGTCCTGCTCATAGTAGACTCACTGAAAGTAATGGACATGACTTAAGTTAGGTGTGTTAATTTCAGTGGGTGTACTCTGCATAGAACTTAATTGGATTCAAGCCATTAAAATTAATGGAGTGGGACGTTAATCATGTCCATTATTTTCAGGGGTGTTCTCTGAGTAGAACTAGCATCGAATACCAGTGAATGGTTATATCAAATTAGGGCTTAACACAAATACCCCCAAATTTTGTGCTTCTGTGGCCATTTGGATTTGGAGGAGTGATTTTCTGGGGGGTGGGAGGGATGACATTCACCTTCAGACCCCCCTCCCATTCCCCCACTGGTGACCGCCATTGTTATGTGATATTTGTCATTCCTCCCCGCCTCTCAAACACAGTGACCCAGAACGAGGGGCATTGTTTGGGTGGGATGGGAGGAAATGGTAGTTTGGTCACTGGAGGAAGTGCTCTGATGTGGCTGCTTGTTTAGCCCTGTAATGGCTAGACTAATACCTTATTTCTTTTCATTATCTGACCAGAATCTAAGAGGGCTGGGCGATTAGCCAATCAAGAATAGCTGTGGCTCCTCAGAGAATGGGGGGGGGGGCAGGGCAACAACTGAAATTTTACTCCTAGGTTGCCAGACTATTTTGTCGTGTAAAACTTATCTTTACCTCAACTAAAAGGGGATATTTGGTGATGAGAGGAACCCAAAGGATGTGCAAATGGTAAGTGTTATGAATTGCCTATCTTAAAGCAGAGGAGATTCAATTCAGAGCTTAATACTGTCACGCAGGCCTGCTCAGCTTGCATCCCACTGAGACAAAGGCAGCCCACCAGCATTGCGCATAGCACACCACTGGCTCAAGGAGCCTCCTGTTTTTACTGCTTTTCTTGCAAGTGCATACCATTCCCCTCACACACAAAAATGGGCAGGGACAATAGCCCATTGGAAGAGCACCTGCTTTACATGCAGAAAGTCCCCGGTTCAATGCTTGGCATCTACAGATAGGGCTAGAATAGACCTCTGCCTGAAACCCTGGAAAGCAGCTTCCAGTCAGTGTAGATAATGTGAAGCTGGATGGACCAAGGGCCTGATGTTGTCGGTATAAGGCAGCTTCCAGAAAGAGCTGTGGCTCAGTGATAAAGCATCTTATTTGCATGCAGAAGTTCCCAGGTTCAGTCCTGTAATGGTCTGGGACTCGGACTCGGAGCCAGAGGAGTCTCAGTCCGCACCAGATCCTTTGCCTCAGTCTGCACAGGTTTCCCTGATTCTGAAGAGCCCCAGTCTGCAGAGGTTTCCCTGCAACAAACACCAGCTGGGCTGAGTCAGGGGGCTGAGCCTTCCCTGGCTCCAGATGCGGGGATTACCTCATTGCCTTTAGCTGGGCAATCACTTACAGCTGCTCCACTACCAGTTGGGTCAGGAGAGGCTGAGGTGGCCTCTGGGTCTAGTAACCCACCAACATCTCCCAAGGTGCAGAGACTGAGGTCTGAGAGAAGGAGAGACCTGAGTACTCGCAGGAGGAGTGCTCGTCTTCAGGCGAGACAGAGAGGTGAGTCACCGGGGGGATCAGCCGGCCGTTACCCCAACAGAGATAAAAGGCTTGCTGGAGCAATGTTACTGTTTGCCAGAACCTGCCTGTGATCCTGTGCCTGATCTTACCTGGTTTCCTGCCTCGTGTCCTTCCTTGGCCCTGCCGGACTAACTCCTCGCAGAACCCTTGGATTCGGGATCGGACCTGGACCGCGTTATCAGGTTACCCCCGGGCCCAGCACAAGTCCCCAGCACCTCCAACATGGGGTTGCACATGTTCCTATTCTGAAACCAAGGAGAGCTGCTTACCAGTCATTACAGTCAGTACTGAGCAGAAATGGACTAATGATCAGACTCGGTATAAAGTAACTTCCTATGTTCCTCTGAGAGCTGCTGCCAGACAGAGCCAACAGTACTAGGCTAAATTGGCCAACTGTTAGACCTGGGTTAAGGCCATTTCCATTTTAAGGCATTAGGGCCATGATCCAATTGCTGTTGGGCTGCGTTTGATTTAGTGGGTCTCAAGCTGTGCCAGCTTTCATGATTTTTTGGAAAGGCTACATAGAGGGCTGCAGATGGTCATAAGCATTCCAACAAATTAGGTTATTCAGAATACGTTTTTGTTATACCATTTGCCATGGTTGAGAAGACAAGGCTTAAGTCAGGGTTCGTAGGAAGTCTCCAGGCTCCTCACTTATATCCTCATCTGGGGGGGAAAGTGATTTCCTCACCCTCATACTCTCAAATGTCCCATATGTAGTTTCACACCATTTGCAGTCCATAGCAGGTCGTGTCTTTACTATTTCATGCCTTTTGACATTGAAATGGCAAGATCATTGTTAATTTTTTGTTTCTCTTTTTAAAAAATCCAGATTTTTTTTTATTTTGTTGGTTTCGGTCACTGATTGACTCTTTTTCTTTCCTTCCCCCCAATTCCTCCCTCCCTACCCCATCCTGTATCTCTGTGCTTCGCTGGACATGGCCCATAGGGGAGTTTTCAGGTGTGTATCTCTCCTCTGTTCAGATTCTCTGTTTCCTCCATTTTTTCTTTCTTCTTGCTCCTTCCCCCTTCCTTGAATTTTAAATTGAATGATGTGGGTACACACGTGTGATACTCCCCTGCTGTTGTCCAATCACGGTTGGCTTTGCGGACTTCGTCCTGCCTTTCCCTTGTTTGATTGGCTTGCGTGACTTAAGGTTCCGAACCCAATTGAACATTCTCTGCTTTTTGCTCACATGTTACATTGTGGTAAGCTTTATTTCGAACCCCTACCCCCCGGCTTTCTGCAGCCTCACTCCACAAGCTGCTTTTTTTTACCTCCCTCTTTGAATCCTAGGGTAGAAGGTGGGGAACCATCTGTAACTTCATGTTTCCTGTAAGGTGGGATTTTTCCTTCCTTTTAGGGCAGGCAATGAACCCAAGTGTGGGTTCCTCATTCAGAAAGTGAGCTAAAGATAGGAGGTTTATCCATCTTGCTGATTCCATTAATAATTAGTCCTTTCCCTCCCTCAGGATGGCTGCTGGGGTAAGAGAAGGTTTGGGACTCAGTGCTCGCAGGATGGGGGCTGAGCTCTCAAGTTTCGCAGCTTATAAGTTTGGAAAAGGCTGAGATGGTCAGTCAAGAATTCTAGCTGAAGGAGAAGTGTTAGAGGTCCAAGGGCATCTTTTCTAGATGAACTTGCTTAAATCAGTGGTGCAGTTAGCTAATTTAAGACTCTAGACCAAGGGTGGAGAACCTGATGTTGTTGAACCACCACCTCCCATCACATATAGCTCAGTGGTAGAACTATAGCTCAGTGGTAGAACATCTGCTCAGTGGTAGAACATCTGCTTTGCATGCAGACTGGGTCAATCACTGGCATCTCCAGGTAGGGCTGCAAAGACACTCCTGTCTGAAAACCTGGAGAGCTACTGCCAGTCAGCATAGATGATACTGAGCTAAGTGAATTAGTATAAGGTGACTTCCTAGATTACTATCCCTGACTGATGGCCATGCAGGCTGAGGCTGTTGGGAGTTGGAGTCCAACAAAATCTGAAGGGCCACAGGTTCTCCAGCCCTGCTCTCTCTAGACAATTATCTTATTGGAGTGGGGTGGCTCTTTAGATGGTATTGTGCATTGACACCACTTCCTTCAGCATGTGGAAAGTCTGCCCTGTTGCATTAGGAGGCCCTTGGGCTCATTCTGCTGAGTGGGCCTCTGGGCCTCTACCCCAAAGTCCTGCCTTGACAGCACCATTGCTTAAGTGGTACAGACTGGACAGTTTCCCTGGATACAGTTCTGGTCCCCATCTCAGGAGGATATCCTGGAACTGGAAAAGATTCCAGAAAGCAGAAACAAAACCATGACAGGTCTGGAACATTTCCTCATATAAAGAAAGCTTAGAGCATTTTAAGATAAAGATGGGCAAAGGTTCAGGGAACACAAAGGACAAGATAGAGGTTTATGAAATGATTCAGTGGGTAGAGGGAATTTCTGGAAACTTTCTTCGGTTAGCTATGTTTGCTTTCGTATTGTTTCGGAGAGTGAATTTGATAAATTTGACTTTGAACATGAACTGAATTGAATTTCTCCCCATTCCTGTTGGGCACACATGATTGCCTGTCGATTTGTGAGCACGCTGGGTGTGCACATTTAGTATCATTTCCGAAATTGGAGCATCCACACTTCCCTCCAGGGCTCTCCCAGTAAGGGTGGAAAATTAGGTGTTTGGTTTTTTTACATGCAAATGTTCATTGTAGTCATGTTTGAAATGTTCGCGGAAGGGCCATAGCTCTGTAGTAGAGCATCTGCTCTGCAGGCAGACGCTCCTCTGAGTTCAAGCTCCAGTATCTCTGCATAGGGTTGAGAACGTCCTCACCTAAGATCCTGAAGAGCCACTGCCAATCAGTCTAGACAGTATTGAGCTAGACAGACCAATGATCTGACTCAGTATAAGGCGGCTTCTTATTACTGAGTTGTATGACTTGTAAACTCAATCCTTTGTGAAAAACGTGTCCAGTTTTGACCGAAGGAGAAAGAAAGAGAAGGGGTGTGTTTGTCTGCATTGGGTTGGATGCCAAAGTTTCCTTCCTTTGATAATAGCAGTCTACTTCTGCTGAAGAACTCTTTATACTGGACCCGGCCCAGTGCAAATAGGAAATAGATTCATTTCCTTTAAACATTTATTATTTGCTGCCAACCCAAGATTGCTGCCTTTTTTTTCAGGCATCCGTCCAGTTGAAAATCAGATTCGGGGTCTCCTAACAGCCCCTTTGCCCCAATTTTACTGTCCTCTCCCCCTGTTTTTCCCCTTAACCTGACCCATCCATGCTGTTGCTTTGGTTCCCTTCCGTAGAGGATGAGAGGCCCAAAGGACCTTTGCCTATCCACGGAGGATAATAAGGATGGAACCAGGAGTTGCTAACTTGATCTGTTCATTCATCCAAAATCTGAGACTTTCTTCCCTGCTTAGCTGGATCAGAGGCAGAGAGTGGTTCTTGCTGCAGCATAACTAATTTCCTTGCACGTACGTGCTAAGAGAGCATGACCGTTTTGCTGTTTACAGATTTGTATTTAATGGCTGCTTTTTTCTCTCCCTTTCTTCCCCTATTTTTCTCTTCTTTGTCCCTATCTCTTTCTGTACCCCTGACCCCACCCCTCTTTTCTCATATGGAATGACTTTCATAGTGCGGGATGATTTCTTTGGTAAGGCCAAGGCCTTTTTTAAACATATGGGTGTTCTCCTCCCCCTTTCTGTTCATTCAGCATCTCGTCATCCTTTTTTTTTCTTCTTCTCTTTCTTTTCTTCTGGGATTTCTCGGGACTCTCTTTTGTTTCGTTCCTGTGATGGTGATGGTGTTGCTTTGTTGAGAAGAAGTAGGTGATTCTTCCATCACCCATTGGGAGAGATTCTTTTCTGTTTGGGGATGTAGGTGGCTATTCGCTTTGATGTTTCAAACAGCTTGCAGGATGCAGGTCAAGAAATATGGCTGTGAAATGTAATGCATTTCCTGGTTATTTTTTTCTGGGAACTGTAAACAAACACACAAAACACATATAGCACTCTTGATGGAAATATTCTATATACACAGTTGACTCCACCACACTTCACTTAGGTTGCTGTGGGAGCCAGGGCTTCTTATAACATTCCAGACACACAATTCAATGTGCTGCTTTTCATGTTTTGAAAACCCTTAGCTTAGAAACCACTTTGTATTCAGAAGAAAAGACTAGCCCTGGCCTTTTTTTTTTTTTACCTGAACCACTAGCTTTCTAGAAGCAAGGAGCACTCAGTTGTGGCTTCTTCCCAACTGTATTTTGAGGGGGATGCTGGCATGTGCCGTCATCATTATTATTCTAATTATTATTATCATTATTATTAAACAACTTTATAGACTGCTTCATTGCCAAAGTTGGTATGTGAGGGAGATAAGTATATGGCCCACCAGCCAGATCCAGTCCTGCAGTAAGGAATTGGCTACACCACCTGAAGTGCCATTGCACATCCAGCACTGCCTTCACCCTCCAGTCACTGCTCTGTATTTGGCTCCAGTTCCTGGACTGCAGTGTTCTGGCAAAAACCAAAGTAGATTCTGAAATCTGCCTATGTTTGACATACTTGATGTAGTCTGTGCTAAAAAACAAAACCAAAAGATCTTTTGCCAAGAAAAAGAAACGTAAAAGTGATGCAAGCCAGCAAAACTGCATTTATTCACTCAGGTTGAATAACTTAACTACTCATAGCCTTGGGCCTGAGCAAAGGTCTTTGCAAAATATTGACACCTGCTCTTAACTATCAGATATCTGAGCTTCCGCTGTTCCACGCTTGTGATAACCACCTGGCATTCTTCATACAGTTTCAAGCCTATTTTTGCAGTCTTAAGGGCTACAAATTTGCTAAAGCGGCGAGATTTGCAGTATTCTCTGCTCTGTTATAGATTGATGCAGTCTTGTGATTTTCATATTCCGGATTCATACTTCTGACTTCAACATGTATCTTGTAGGCTCAGGATGATTTCCATTATTTCTGAAAGAACAACAGACCTTGCCTCTTTGCAGTATGTTTTGATTTTTGAGTCCAGGTATCTCCAGTTATCCAGGGACAGAAAATACCCTGCAGCCACATTGCCCAGGCACCTAAAAACTGGTGCTAGTGCCTTGAAATATTCACCCCCACCAACCTGCAGACCTTGGCAAATCAGTGTGTAAAAAAGATTCTATTTACATTTCACCTTCTCACAGCAGCCGGGATATAAAAGGTCATGCCACACTTTCATTTTTTAAGTGTCCTCCTATTTCAAATGTACACCAAGAAACATAATGTGGGAATGAAACACATGCATGTGTCATGCAGGTACACAAATTGAGTACCTGGGTTTGGCAGTGCCTCCATGTGGAGTCTACATGAAATGGACTGAATGTCAGTGAAATGTGCAGAGTGGCCTATAATTTACCTTCAGACTGGGATTCTTAGTCTCCATCGTTGCATTTAAGTTTGTATTTCTGTTCTCTGCCCCAATAGACAGTATGAAGATCCCATGCTGCCTGAAACATCAGAAGTGATTTATTTCTTCCTGTCTTATTCCTGATGGTTGTAGTGTGTTTTTTTCCTTTCTCTATATCTATCTAACTTTATTTTTTAAAAAACACACCTGCTGCTTCTTTGCCATTCTTGCTGGGGAACTTGCCTCTGCCATCATCAACCTGTCCCATCTCATTGTTGGGAAGAAGGTCTGTGTACTTGCCTGAGTGTCTTGTGCTGTATTCTCACTTCCTGTACACTGCCCATGACTCTCTTTTTTAAGCGTTTCATTTGTACTGAGTGTGTGTTTGTCGCTTTCAACAAAAGCAAGCAGAACGAACAGCGTAAAAGCATGTTTCTCTACACAGTGTGAAGTGGATGCGTGCGTGAATGTTGAAAGCATCCGTGGGTTCATGAGAACAGTTGAAATGAGACTAGGTAACTAAACATTTCCCTTCCATTCTGTAATGGAAGGAAATTCTAGTCCCCCTATACTGCACTCCCAACATTTGGGACGGAGGCTCTCCATAACTTTGGCTGCAAACACACCCTAAATTTAAAGCGTGTGAATTCCCCCAGAGAATCCCGTGAAGTGTTGTTAAAGTGTGCTGGAAACTACAGTTCCCAAGGTTCTTTGGGGAAAGCCATGTGCTTTAAATGTATGGGGTGTATGCAGCCTTTGTAAGGTCACCCAGTGAGTTTTGCAGTGAAGCAGGGATTCGTACTCTAGACCTGGCTCTTTTTTGCTTCCTGTTCTGCATTGGCAACTTTCATGCACAAAAGCAGCAATAGCCAAAGAAGGATTCAAACCAGGCAGGAGGAACCTGTGGCCTACCAGATGCTGCTGAACTGCCACCTAAATCGTAAATCTAATATATTATCTATCTATCTATCTATCTATCTATCTATCTATCTATATCTATCATCTCCCACCTTTTCCCTAGATGGAACTCAAGGTAGCTTAGAGATTAAAAAAAAGAAGTGCTAAAAGTTCAGGGTTGTTTAAACAAACCAAAAATGATTGTGAAGCGCTCCAAAAGCATCTCTCAAAACTGAGGAAATGAGCAGTAAAATGGCAAGTGCAATTCAGTGTAAACAATTATAAAGTGATGAATGTCGTCCCCCCAAAATATGCTTACATTCGTAACTCCCTTTACTCTCCGTCAGCATAGCTGATGGTCAGGCATGATGGAAGTTGTAGTCCAGCAGCATTTGGAAGGCCACAGGTTTTACACCCCTGCCCTACTAAGTGTGTTTAGGATAATGTCATATGTGGGGGGAAACCCAAAGTTTGTGAAAGATGTATCTAAACTTTCACAAATAGTGCATTTGCCAGATGAACAGAGCTGGAATAGTGATCTGATTTCTCTAGAACTACCTTCACCAACTTACTGCACTCCAGATGATTTGGATAACAGCCGTCATCAGCCCCAGTTTGATGGGAGTTGTAATCTAAAACATCTGGAGGGCAACAAGTTGGGGAAAGCTGCTGTAGAGTGTGCATGTTTAACAAGTGTATTATGTGGCCAATAGTAAGATTTCATTTTTCCTCCTGTCCTTCATCTTCCCAGCAACAACTCCATAAAACTAAAAAGGTGGGAGGAGAGAATGGCAGCCTAGTCTCATATATGGAGCTTGCTGCAGTAGTTATGGAGACTAAGGTCACTTCCCACATCTGTCCTTGCAAAACTGGGAAGCGTAGTTCTGTGAGGGGAGCCAGTGATCTATAAGAGAATTCTTAGCCCCCTTGTCAAGCTACAGTTCCCAGCACTCTTTGGAAGGGGCAACATGATCGTTAAATGGAGTGCTAATATATCCACAAAGTAGGAAAGACTCAATTGGGATTTTTTTTGGTAACAGCAGTATAACATTTCAGAGCTGACCTCACTAGCGAGCCCCTCTACTCCTCCCTCACCCTGCCAAACCTCTTCAGGGATAGTTTCCTTGTGATGTCTAGCTGGGCTTGGATCCTTCCACAGTGGTGTGGCACTAATCTGCATAGAAGTTCAGGGGAAGTCAGACAGTTAAGCTTCACTGTGTGACATTAGGTACTTCCAATGAAACAGTTGGCCCAACAGCGAAGTCTGTAAAGTTTCCCTTTGTCGTTGGCAACCTAGTGACCAGAAACTAGTGACTAGGAGGACTGAAATACGTGACAGATGATCGAATTAGATCAGAGCTGGCCCTTGGATCATAGCTGTCAACTTTTCCCTTTTCTTGCGAGGAATCCTATTCGGAATAAGGGAATCTCCCTTTAAAAAAGGGGAAAGTTGACAGCTATGCCTTGGATAAACAGAAGAAAGGAGACGTTTTTCTCCCTCTCTCATCATACTAGAACTTTGGGCCATTCAATGAAGTTGAATGTTGGAAGATTCAGGACAAACTCCCATAAGAGGTATTAATGGCCAGCAACTTGGTGTAAAAGAGGATTAATGGAGGATGAGGCTATTTAGGGCTACTAGCCATGATGGCTATGCTTCTGTCTCCTCTGTTGGAGGCACTATGCCTCTGAATACCAGTGGTTGGGAATTGCTGGTGGGAAGAGTGCTCTTGTGCTCAGGTCCTGCTTTTGGGCTTCCCAGAGGCAACTGGTTGGTTGGCCACCATAAGAGCAGGATGCTGGACTAGGTGGGCCAACAGGGCTTTTCTTAACTTGCATCAAGTAGCTTCTACCCACGAATCAAAGTTGGCCTGCAAGGGCGGAGGTCTGATTCACTAGTATGTTCCTCGCCGGGAATGCACTGGCCAAGCAGCACCCAGCAGGACTGAACACTCTGCTTCTCAGCTGATGTGGAGAGGGTTTAGTTGTGTTCTACTTTGCTAGCATGTTCCCCCACATGCAAAGAAGCACCCAGCATGATTGAACCCTGCCCATCAGCTGACAACACCCAGCGATACCAGCTGATGGACAGGTGGTGTGGTTTTGGGAAAATGGCTTCACAGGTCAAATTCAACTCCCTGGCAGACCAAGATTGGTGCACGAGGTGGACTTTCTCTACACCTGCACTAAATTAGCTGAGCATAATATTGAACTTTGATAATAACTCGCTGTGCTCGTGGCTTGTGCTCTTGAATCCAGATTGAAAACAAGCAGGGTTGTGCGAAACAGAGGAGTTGAGTGACTCGCTCATTGGCTGGGCCTTTTCAAAAAGGTTTTAACACATTATAGTGGGGTGGGTCCAGCTTTTAAGTCTAAGGGCTTATGCACAATTACCTTTCCTCTACTCTTTCCAGGCACAGTCCACAATTTCAAGCTCTGGGTCTAAGCACACACCCCCTTTTTTTTTTTTTTTTTGCTCTGGAACTTTCCTCTTGAAAACCCACTCTTTCAAGCTCAATCAGAGCAAATGTCAATCCACAGAAAGCCTGAATTGGTGTTTGTTCCAGTTCAGCCTTAAAGAGCTGTTTTTGGCGGGGAAAGCTTAGGGCAAAACAAACAAACAAAAAACCGCTCGTCCATAGAGTGTTAATGTATAGATCTCTACATGGAAAGTGTGGGATGAAAGGTAAGTGTGGATAAGCCCTAAGAATACCCATTTTAGTGCAGTTGTTTCTTCTGTCCCGTCTCCTAAAGGAAGTATCTGTACTTGAGTGAATGCATCCGTCTGCGTTTTCAGAAATGTTTGCTTCTGTTCCGTGACCTCGACAGGGCGAGTGGCGCTTTGCACTGTGCAGCAAAACATATACGTTGCAGGCTCTCGAACTACGAGGCTGCTTCTCCTAAGTAAGAATTGGCCAGCAAAGCATAAGGCTTAAATCTTTCCAAAGGGTGCAGATCAAAATTGTGTGTTGCCTCGTGTTTTATTTTTTCTTTTCCACCCCTCCAGGGATGGGCAAAGAAGTGGGGAACCTGTTGATGGAGAACACACAGCTACTGGAAACAAAGTAAGACACCAGCTCATGCTCTAGAAATACTTTGCTTGTTTGCTTAGGTGTATGGCATGGACATGGTTGACATTTGTGTGTTGCCACTTTGCTTGCTAGCATTTCGGTGACCACCAACTTAGGCGGCTTAAAAAAAGGATTAGACAAATTCATGTATAAGGGTATCAGTGGCTACTAGCCTTGATGGCTGTGTTCCACTGTTAGTAGTAGCATGTCTCTGATAATTGCAGGAAGAACTTCCAAGCAATGGTTCTTAAGAGGGTTGAGAATTGTTTCTGAGAGGGGTCACCTCTAGGGGTGTGGTGAGAAATTAAATAGGGAATCTCACAAAGGCAGACATCCATACTTGGTTTCTGCCAACAGAATCAGTGCTTCCCACAGAAAAGTCCATACAACCTACCATACTGTAAAATCCATATAAATGCAGTTCAAAACAGCAAATTCATAACAAATATAACATTTGAAACCACCAGTAATACACTAAATGAGATTGAGTGTTTGTTGGGGGGGGGGAAGGCTCTGTTAATTTCATTGTACACAGGTTGTACATTGACAATAAAGGTTTATTTATTTATTTATTTATTTATTTATTTTTACTATAAAGGCATCTGCAATAATCATGAAGAAACAAACCGCCCTTTTCCCCACACAACACAAGGATGATTGACAAGGGAACTAAATATTGTTATACAATAACCACAATTCCTAAGAAAGTAAAAACTTCTTCAGTGGGTGCAGGGTGAAATTCCCTGGGAAACCAGAGCCTACTACCCAAAAGCCCATTCTCTCACTCACTGCTGTCCTCTAGATTAGGGTTGTAAGAAGGCATTGCTTTCAATCCTCCCCTATATTCATCACAGGCTGCACTGATACTTCTCTGCTGCAGTTAATCTTCCACCAAAATGATGTTATCCACCTCACTATCTGCTGTGGCACATACGTTTTTCTTTTCCTTTCCCCTATCCTAAAGAAATGCTCTGAACATAGTGAAGAACGATTTAATTGCAAAGGTAGACCAGCTCACCGGGGAGCAGGAGGTGTTGAAAGGTGAGCTTGAAGCAGCAAAGCAAGCGAAAGCTAAGATGGAAGCTAGGATCAAGGAACTCGAAGAGGAACTGAAAAGGTGAGTGTCCTGCTGCTGCTTGAGCAGTTTCCTCAGCTATGGGTAGGCAAGTCATTCGGGACAAAAAAAGAAGGCTGATGGGTGCTAGATTCCAAGGCGATTTGTAGGGCAGCACTTGAGCTACCCTGGCTATTGTCGCAACAACACTTGGAGGCCCACAAGTTCTCCCCCTGCCCCCTCTGCTAAATGGACCCTCCCACAGCACCACATCCCAGATCTTCATGAGCAAAAGCAAACCTGCAGGAGACCCAACTGTGGTCTTTCTGTACATATCACATTTGGTACGGCCCTCTCTACATGCCACAGTCAAACGAAGAGCTCAGGTGGATATTGATTTGTGAAAAACGAGGCGGACAAATCAACTCTTCATGTTGGTGCTTCTCATTCTTGTTCTTGTATTAAATCCCCCCCACCTTTGTAACTGTTAGCAAAAGTGGTCCAGTTTACATTTTTGGGGGAGCAGGGTGAAGTATTACTGTCTTCTGTTTTTAACATATATGGATGGGGTGTGTGTGTTTTATCCTTGGTTGTTGCCTTGGGCTGCTCACATAAAGCCAGATGTTCCCCTCACCTCATACACTTTCTGTAGCAAATGTAGCAAAATGGCCTAGCTAGGGTAGCCATACGTCCAGATTTTCCCAGACATTACCGGAATTTCAGTGGTGGAAGTGATGTCGGGGGGGGGGGGAGAATTTCTAAAAAGCAGTGGTTTGTCCTGGATTTTCGGCAAAATAACAAAAAAATCGCTTGGGTCATTTCTCAAAAACAACTTTGGCTTTTTTCAGCAATTTGTTTGTGTCTCGATTTTCACTTCTTGAGAGATGGCAGCCCTAGTGAGCAACTGAGGCCCAGGACAGCGTACCCCTGTCAAGAGGGGCTGCTGTTTAGCCTCTTCCTTTCTTTGATGTTCTTTGCTCTGTTTTCTAGAGTGAAATCCGAAGTGATCGTTGCCCGTCGAGAGCCCAAAGAAGAGGTGGAGGATGTAAGCAGCTATCTCTGTACAGAATTGGTATATTACATTATTAAAATGCCTAGGGAAGGAGGGTTTTTTTGCGGGAATGGGGGGGGGTTTTCTTCCTCACTTACTTGAACACTGACACCAAAGTGCATATTTTATCATCCTCAGGTGTGTGGGGCATCCCAAAGGGGCTGTTCTCTTTGGGTTGTCACCACATCCATGACTACCGCAGCCTGGGTATAATCATATCAAAATGGAAGTACTGGATGCCACTGCAATCCTACCCCCACTTACCTGGGAGCAAGCCCCATTGAGATCAGTAAGACTTGCTTCTGAGTAGACATGGTTAGGATTGCACCATTAAGGTCAGATTACCCTTACATATGTGTCCGTCCCCCCCACAAATAGTCTCTGGTTTGGGGAAGGTAGGGGACTTTAAGTCTTTGCCTCCCTCATTGTGGTCCTAAACCAAATCTCCCTTGTACGTGCTAACATGAGGAGGAACATAGGAAGCTGTCTTATCTGCAGTTAGGTGACTGGTCCTCCTAGATCAGGGTTTAGCCACACTTCCTTTTTGCCCCATTCTTTCCAGGTCCGCACTTAAAAGCTCTGTGTCCAAGTGTGGGTTTGTTTTTTTGCTTTTTGCCCTGGAGTTTCTCCCCATGAAAACCTGCTCTTTAGTGCTCAATCAGAGCAAATGTCAATTTGGGTTTTCCACAAATTGCTGTTTGATTGAGCTTTAAAGAGAAGGTTTGCACTGGGGAAAGTTGCAGGACAACAGCAATCACATCTCTCACTACTGCTGAACACCATGTTCCTTCCTGCCCAGAAGATTCCATCAGAATGAGGTTGGGAAAACATTGCTTTCTGCTCCCATGCAATCGCTCTGATGACATCACCCCCAAAGCTAGTTTAGGATGAGGGCAGAAACAGGAAGAAGTGTGTCCTGTCCTCACTCATCTTCTGGGTTACAAGGAGCTTCTCAGAAAAATTACACGAACTATCTGCGGTGAGTGTGAATGCCATGCTGATACGTCGGACAAACATTTCCCCTTGACACACACAACCTCCACATACCCGTTCCTTGTTGCTGAAATGCCTCCCTAAACTTTGCGGCGTATGACAAAGTTGGGTGTGTATTTTAGCTCTTATAGCTGGTCTTCTAGCTACCCAGCAGTGCTTCCTGCGATCTCCTGATCAGCTGCCCGTTAGCCTTTAGCACTTACTGCTGGGACGGATGAAAGGGGCTGCATTTCGAACCTGTCCCTTCTCTCTATGCTGTCAGTGGTCACTGGGATCTCCCCCAGAGAATCATCCAGATAATGAGTATGACCAGGTAAGCTCAGCCATGCTGGGTAAGAAGGTCTAAGCCTTCTTCCGCAGTAGAATAAGCAGCTCTTCCCTCAGTCTCCCACCACATGTCTTTTGGGGACTTCTTTGTAGAGAAAGGCAGGCTGATTTTAATCCTGTGAGCTACTAATGTGTGTTTCAGTGCTGACTTGCTAATGCGGTTGATATGCCCATGCAGGCACCCTTAGTTCTGATGTAGAATTACCTGTTCATTCTGATCTTGGGGTGAAGACAGACGTAGCACTTTTGAGAGTGGCAGAGATTGCTTGAATTCACTTTAGACTTCCTGATCTACACATGCATGATTCTTCTTTTCTATGATTCTTCTTTTCTGGGAGAGGGAAACTAGAGCTTTGTACATTTCTGGTATATTGGGGGAAATAAACTCTTGGTAGTTGCGTGTTGTCTAGTCTGTGAAGTCATTACCTCCCCAGGTCCCCAGAACAATTTTGAAATGGTTTCAGGGGGAAAATATGAGTTTATTTTTTGGTAATGTGAAGGGTAAACAAAAAAAGCTTACAAAAGCATATAAATTCCCAATTTATTTTTTTTTAAAAAATGGAAAGATGGGCAATCTTTATGAATCATGACAGGGAGAGGAATAAGACTGAATTCATGCAACGGGTGCATTACTGCTTTGGCCACTGTTAAGACTGTTGCTTCTGCCTTCTCCCTTAAATAATCCTCCACTTTTGCATTGTATTGCACTGCTTACAAATTAGGCTCCCTCCTGTTGCAGGAAGTTTGGCTATGCATGGGCTTAATATGAGTTGCCTAACCCATATTAACACTTCGCTCCTAACGGCAGGCTAGTTAGACTTGGATGCTAACTAGCATTACCTTGGAGGTTTGCAGAACACGAATTAGCTGTTCACTCATCACTTCTCCAGATGTCATGTTTTCGTTGCTTATATGACGTTGTAGTTAGATTCTCTTTGCTAAAATTAACCGGGGGGGGGGGGTACACCAGGCTAACAATTGTTGCTTTAGTCTCCTGGCTTCATGCTTTACTAACCTTAATCCCCTTCCATTTCCCATTGGTTGAAGCCATCCTCCTCCCCTCTGCAGGACAACATTCCCATAGCTCAGCGCCGGCGGTTCACCCGCGTGGAGATGGCCCGGGTCTTGATGGAGCGCAACCAATACAAGGAGAGGTTGATGGAGCTGCAGGAGGCTGTCAGGTGGACCGAGATGATCAGGTATGGGGGATGCTTTATTATGCTTTATGCATCATTAAAGTGTTGAGAGGAACCTAGCAGGTGGGCTAGAGGTGCTCTGTGGTTCTGGAGTACCAGTGGTCATTTTGTGTGAGACGCAGAATTCAGCACCCTGGACACCTCAGCATCAGAAAAAAAAAACCAGTGGGTTTTTAACTCTCATTGGCTAGGTCTAAATGTATTCCAGCACCTCAAGAATCTTATTCATTTAAAAAAGAAGAAACGCAAAAACCCAATTATAGCCTTCACACGTGGCTTCATCTCATGTAATTGGGTTAGGGGTTGCAGCCTTAACCTGTGACTATTATTATTTGTTCATATCCTTGGTTTTAATGTGGGATCTGTTTGGGTTTTTTTGCATTGTAAGTAACTTGAGAGACTTTCATGGGAAAAACAACAAATAAATATAAATAAAAGAAAATAGTTGCTTGCTTTTGTAGTGTGCAAGAGGTATGTATGATGTGGTATATGTTGGATTGCGTTATGATTAGGTGAGGGTTGTTGCATTAAAGTATATTCTATGCATAATAAGGTTTATATCGTGGGTTTGTTCCGTCATGCCTAATGAGGATGTATATAATTATCTGTATTGTGCTTGATCAATTTATTTATATGGATGCTCATTTTTATTTTTATTTTGAAAATTTATAAAAATTCTATTTACTGTAACTGTTTCAAGGCTTTCCCTTTCTTTTTGCTTCTGGGCCTTCGTTGCATATGTCATTTGTAGCTGAATCCTGAAACCAACAGGCATACTAGTCCTCAGATCCCCAAATTAACCCTTTTTACAATTTTTTTTGTCTGCTCATCTGTTGTCCAGCTGTTTAATAATTATCTGTTGTATTTGTTCATAGAGCCTCTCGGGAGCACCCTTCTGTCCAGGAGAAAAAGAAATCTACTATTTGGCAATTGTAAGTAGTGTGTTTGCTTGTGAACTGTGAAATGCAGAAGGACGTGTGCAGTAGAGACATTTCCGTACAGTCAAGTAAAAGCACACTAATTCTACCAGTTCATTTTTACGGGCAAAGTTGCATATTTGGATGTGAGAAGGGAGGTAACATCACTGGTACGATAGATGGCCTGTGCTGCCTCTTGACATTCTTTTTGTTTAAACCTTGCACATTCCATCAGATGAGGGTGTATGAAGACAATTTCAACTCACCCAGCACTTTCGGGTAGCTGCTGGGGCTCCAGAGTTTCCAAAAAGCACATCACCTAACCATCCTTCTCTGTCCTCTGTAGCTGCAAACTCTCATTTTAAATTTCCCATTGTGCCACAGAGCACCGTTGTGTTGAGTGCTGCAGAGCATTCTGGGAAGTTTAAAAAGATGGCTTCCAAGGTGCTAGCTGATCATGCCAAGTAAAGAAGGGGCTCCCAAGATGGTACTTTGCCAAGACCCCTCTCAATCAAAGGGAATAAATAAAATATTAAAGATGAGCAGTTGTGGCAGTGTGTTGCTTCACATCTTCCAGCAACCCTGGGATTAGATGGATGGGGTCTTCAAGTTCAGAAGATGTGGCTTTCAGATAGGATTGAACTCTGGTCCACTATGTATTGCTGAACTATAATTCCTGACCATTGTCCACACTGGTTGGGGCTGATGGGTATTGTCATCCATCAACATCAGGAGTGCCACTGTTTCCCCACCTGATCATTTTCAGACTCATGCATTCAAACAGCAGATGAAATGCCAAATTTATTCTTGCACAAGATGCTCTCCCATTAAAACCTAAACATAGTACAACTCCTTGCCTCATCCCATGTCAGGAAGTTCTCTAATGTTTAGTTGGAGCAACTTTCCAGTAACTTCCATATAGGATTCTTTCTGTTTCTCATTTTTCCCATTTTAAATTCAGTTCTCCTCGTTTTTGCTGCAATTTGCACTTAAAAAAATCCTCTTGAATACTCACCAGCATTTTAGTGCGCATTTCTCCTAATAAATATATATTTTTGGATACAGTTTTGATTAATATGCACATTTTTGCAAGCAGTTTTTCCTAAGACTAAGCATTTTGTATGTTATCTTCACTAATAGATAACATCTATTTTTATGCATTTTTTTACACATTGTTTGGTTGGAGAACTGTATTGCAAAATTCCAAGAAGTGTGAATTTCAAAGGGTTGCTGTGTTTTGATAGGTGTATTGGGTCTGAGAAGCGTGAATTAGATAGTTTCTCATTAAAATGCACACAAATAATCCCCGCCCCCAATTCATACTCCTGTACCTCCTTTCTTCTTCTTTGGGATTAACAATACAAAACTTATGATTTAACACCTTTGGCTTCCTTCTTTCTCCCCAGCTTCAGCCGCCTGTTCAGCTCCTCCTCCAGTCCTCCACCTGCCAAAAGGAGTTACCCATCAGTGAACATCCATTACAAATCTCCCACGGCAGCTGGGTTCAGCCAGCGCCGTAGCCACACTATGTGCCAGATCTCTGCTGGGAGTCGCACCCTTGAGTTCTTCCCGGATGAGTGAGTTCATCGACCACTTTGGCTAAAGTTCCTGCTGTGGCTTGTCCTAGTTGCTTGGCGGAAACCCAGAAAGTATAGCTTCAAAGCATGTGCTGACCAGATTTTGACAAGGCTGGACATAGTCAGTGGCTGCTTGGAATCCAGCGACCTGCAAATCTCCTTTTCATTACTTTATAGTAATAAAAATATTTCAGGGAAAACTTAAGAATGAACAAGATAGTGAAGCACATCAAAGTAAAGAGGGGAACACGTTTTGTGTGTTAATATTTATTCAAATATTTGCCCTGAAAAACGCAACATGCTTGTCAAAGAAGAGAGGAAGACATGCATAAATTGGATATATCTATATATTGCCTCCAATGTTATTTTTACTCAGAGTAAACCCATGAAAATAATAGCCCTGGGTTAGTCATGTTCATTCGTTTCAATGGATCTCTGAGTAGAACTACCGTATTTTTCACCCTATAGGACGCACTTTTTCCCCTCCAAAAATGAAGGGGAAATGTGTGTTCATCCTATGGGGCGAATGCAGGCTCTCGCTGAAGCCTGGAGTGCGAGAGGGGTCGGTGCGCACCGACCCCTCTCACTCTCCAGGCTTCAGGAAGCTATCCCCCCAGCCCGGCAAGCTCCGGGAATGATAGCGAGGTTGTGCGCCATCGCTCTCGGACCCGTTCTGGGGGCTGGGGTCGGGGGATGCTCGGGCTTCCCCCGCCCCCAGCCCCGCAAGCTCCAAGAGCGATGGCGAGGTTGCGCAACCTCGCCTTCGCTCCCGGACCCCCAGCCTCGAGGCTAAAAACGAAGCCAGGACACCGAGCGGGATCCATCCCGCTCGCTGTCATGGCTACTTTGCTCTTTGGGGCTGGGGGGGAAAAATAATTTCCCCCCTTTATTCCCCCCCCCAAAAAAGTGCGCCCTATGGGCCGGTGCGCCCTATAGGGCGAAAAATACGGTAAATAGCACATCACAACCCTAATAGTAAAAAGGGCCTACCTTTGATTCCCACAGAACCAAGGTTTTGACGAATGCTTTTTGGATGGATGCATCATGCCTCAGTGGATTTTTAGCACCCGGTTTTGCTCAGGAATTCGAAGGACCACCCCCAATTAGTTTAGTCTGGGAATCAATAATTAAAATCAGTGCAGCTCAGAAAGGTTCATTCCAGCTTCTTGATTCAAAATGGTGTCCAAGTGTATCCAAACCTAGAAAAAAGAAACCCAGCGTCTTGGTTTCAGAATCTATTGTGCAAAAATTGGCCATGCAATCTGAAGAGGTGTCCAAATGCTTAGAGAACTGATTAAAAAAAATACTTTCTAAAATATATAGTAGGAGATCTCCTTGGTTCACTGCCATAGCTTCCCCCCCCTGCTTTGTGTGTATTATTGACTGAGCTTCAACCTCTCTCTCTCTTTTTCCTCTCACTCCGTGAATCTCTGTCTTTCTGCTGCCACGGCAATGCTTCCTTGACCCTCTGCCTCTCATTTCTAACCATAGATTGAGAAGTAACACTGTTGCGTCTCTCCTCAGTGACTGTACGTCATCCGCACGTCGCGAGCAGAAGCGCGAACAGTACCGCCAAGTCCGGGAGCACGTGCGGAATGATGACGGTCGCTTGCAGGCCTGTGGCTGGAGCCTGCCCGCCAAATACAAGCAGGTAGGCCTCGTTCACCTAGAGGCAAGAGAGGTGAAGTTCGGTTTATTGAATTTGTGGAAATGTTTTCCACAACAACTACAAAAGTCCTGGTGTTGATTTACAGCAAGAATAAAATGCAGTCATTAAAATACGTATGCTGTACCATCATTGAGGCCAAGAGGGGGTACCCAATCGTCTGGGCAATCCAGGACTGCCATACACATTGCCCAGGCTTGCACCCCAGGGAAGTCACTTCAGTGCTGCTAACTCAGTGGTTTGACTTCACCTCCAGAGGCGCACTTCATTGTCTCTTGAGACAGATGGATGACAACAATTAACCTGTGGGCACTATCAAAATTGTCCATTAGCATATGAACTAGATAACTTTATAGTTGCCACATGTGTGTTACGTGTGTGTGTGTGTGTGTGTGTGTGTGTGTGTGTGATTTCTCCTGGTTGGCCACTGAAAGGAACAGGTTGTTGGACAAAATGGCCCTTTGATGTGCTCTTCTTATGCTCAGTTTGGCAGCTGGAAATCACATTTTGGTTGAGAGTTGAATCACGTCCTATCCTTTCTGTCCCCAATAGCTGAGTCCCAATGGTGGCCAAGAGGACAACCGGATGAAAAATGTCCCAGTGCCTGTGTATTGCCGCCCACTAGTGGAAAAGGACCCTACCATGAAGGTAAGTGTCACATATGTGCAAAAGCTTCCCGTTCCTTTTAGCAGATAGTTCTGTCGTTGCTGAACATTACGTCACAAATTCAGGCATGCCTTCATGTGAATAATCTACTTGCCGAACAGAAGTGACGAAGATGTCCCAACAGTTGGCGCTCCCCTCCTGCCAAGCTTTTCAAGGCAAGGCAAGCTCACTCTTGGGGCTCTCTTGCCCTACAAGTCTGCTGTGTGCACACATGATGCACACTTCATCTGGGAGGATGCATCAGATTCCACCTGTGAAGGCAGCACTTGTTTCCTGGCAACGAGTCTGTGTGCTGCCCCTTTGCCTCCAGCTCCACCGCCAGTTCCTTCTCCACCCTCTTGCTGGCCAAAGTCCTCCCACCTCCCTGATGATGCTCTGCATTCCGCCAGGGGCAGAGGAGAGCCCGCAGATCTGCTTCTCCCTCTCTGACATCTAGAGTTCCAAGGGGAGGAGCTCTCCCCTCCATTCCCAGGGAGAATGCTCCTTACAGCACCCACCCTTAATCTGCTCCTTCTCTGTTTTCCTCCTTCTCCTCTTCCTGATTTATCTGGGGTTGCCAAGCCATGCCAGATTCTGATGGAGCCAAGGAGCCTGCAATGGGAGCTTTCTACAAAGATAATAGTAGCCCTGGTTTTGATAGATATATTCATGTTTCCTTTTCACGGGCATCTAGTATGTTTCCCATGCTGGTTCACATTCCCAAGACTCCTCAACCTTTGTTGTGGAGGCCCAGTGGCACAGAGGTCTCTAGAGCTGTACCCTCGCTTACAGCATTCCCTTAGGATGGATCATTGGGTTTGTGCTGAATTCTGATCTATTGCAGATCATATTTGAGAATGAAGACACTGCAAAGATGATCAAGACATGCCAAGTGGCTCATGTCTTTCTACCCCACCCCATAAAAAAAAAATCTGCTCTTCTTCAAGCTCCTTTCTTTGCCTTTTTAGTTGTGGTGTGCAGCTGGTGTCAACTTGACAGGTTGGAAGCCTGTGGAACCAGATACTGGAAATGGGCAGAAACCAGATCCAGGATGTGATCCTCTCACTTGCGACCGAGAAGCAGAAGGAGAGAGCACCAAGAGTAACCACACATCGCCAGAAAAGAAAAAGGTTGGGGAAGAGAGCTGTCCATTTCTCCCATTTTCCTTCTTATACATTTAAGTGTGACTTCCTGAGCTATTTTTCATAAGCTGGATACACAGCAAAGCAACAATCATGCACTCTAACATCAATTTGGCATTCACCATGCTTTTTTAATGCAGCATTTGTGGTTCTACAGGAGATATAAATACTGGATTTAGTGGCTGGTACCTGGGCTGCACTTAGATGAGAGAGGGGCTACTGTACATTTTGAACAAGATGCAAATACCAGCCATGGGGCAGGGGAGCTATTCTGATCAGGGGCACAGTGGGGACAAAGGGTTAAATCCCAGCAATCCCTTTTTATGGTGGGGATCCCTCAGCAGTTATTTAGGTGTTTTGAATCCATAGAATTGCTAATAACATGAATAGCACAGTCCTAAAAATAACACAGAGGGAGGCGATTGTAAATCATCTCGCCCAGAGACACTGGCAGTCTTAAACATCTGTGAGACCCTGTGATCATGTAGAAGCCCAACAGGTATGGGAAATCTCAGGAACTGGGGCTCAGTGTGGCCCTCCAAGCTTCTTTCTCACACCAGCTACCCCTGCTACTCATGCTGCTTCGCATTCCTCGAGTGTTTTTGCCCTTGAGCACCAATACTGCCTTTTGCTTGCCTGGATGGAGAAACAGGCATTTAGAAACAGCTGTACTGTACAAAGCTAACACTTATATCCAGTGCTTCTCCTAGTTTTACCCCTGGCCCTCTGAAGGTTGCCCAGAAAAGGAATGCAGCCCTTGAGCTGAGAAAAGGTTCCCCACTCATACCCTAGAGATTCATTGTGAATATGCTTTTGCACTCAGCGCCTCCCTGCCTCCCGCATTCCATGCTGGAGTGAGAGCCAGGTACTGAGACGAACTGTGAGTGAAACCTGTTCCCTGTCCCTGGGGTGAACTTGCAAGGATAATTACCCTCAATCATCCTTGTTTTTCCTTCGCCAACGATCTCCCGCTGTCGTGGGAGCTGCCTCCATTAAGGCAGACCGGAACCGGAAGCCTTCCCACCCACCACATTCTCTCCCTCTCCCTCTCTCTCTGCATTTTTGCTGTTCTGCAGGCCAGAGAGTTGCACGAGATGGATGCCACATCCAGCAGAGTGTGGATCCTCACGAGCACCTTGTCTACAAGCAAAGTTGTGATCATAGATGCCAACCAGCCAGGGACGGTGGTGGATCATTTCACCGTATGCAATGCTCACGTCCTTTGCATCTCCAGCATTCCAGGTAAGTGAATGAGTCATCATAGCAGTTCAGGTGCTGTTTCCAAAGCTGGCAAGCCCACAGGGAAGGAGATCACAACCTGGAATATGAAAGGGATCTTGCCAGTTCCACCCATAAGGCAGGTATTTTAAAAACCATAAGTTTTTAAACTTGAAATGTGGTACCACTTGAAATGTGGTACTGTAGTGAATCAGGGCCTGTGTATTGGCCCTGGGGCTGGGCTCTCTCAGCCCTGCTCTCACTCACTCGTCCACACACAGAGAGATGTAAACAAACATATAACCTCTCTTCTACGGGCAGAGGAGAAATTATGTCTGGTTAAGGGTTTTAATGTGAACCTACATAATTCACACTTTCTGAAACAGTATGCAAATCGAAACATAGCCTATCCTGAAGAAAAGAAACAGAAACATAGCTATCCTTTCAATTTTAAGCTCCTCTGAATTTTGTTATGCAGTTCTCTCCTGAAAAAATGTGTTTAAAAATTGTATATTAGAGGAAAGGGTGCATAAAAATTAATTAAAATAACATACAAAGCACATGTTTTGCAAAGAGTGTGAATATCAGTCAAAAGTGCATGCAGAATGTATATTAGGAGAAAATTGCACTGAAATGCTGCTTAATTTTCATGAGTACTCTTTTTAAAGAAAAGCACATTAAAAAAATTACTGCAGAAATGTGAGCTTAAGCTTGGAAAAGTTAGAATGAAAGAAAACAAAACTGATGAATTTGGCCTACTCCCCCATCCGCAAATGCGCGCGCACACACACGCACACAGAGCCTCTTCTCCCCCACAAAAAGCCAAACCTCCTTAAAACAGCAATCATAATAGAAAACAAATGCTAGCAATACTTGCAGCTGTCAGGGTAAAGGCTAAGCTAGACATGACATTAGGTGCATGTTTGCATTGAACACGTACGTTTTTAAAAATACAAATAGTTGCCGTGGAACGGGGCTGATAGGATTCATTTTATGAAACAATGTGGGTTTTTTACAGTTTTGAGAAATGTATTGTACCAAAATTCCACACCCCATCCCTTATGAATGTCAATGTATAAATAGCAGTCATGATTTTACTATTGCTTTGGAATATACCAGTCATCCACATTCATTCATTTCATTTCATTGCCTGATTGTTTCACATTAAAACATAATGAAGCAATGTAACAAAAAAAAAACCAAAAAAAAAAATTAAGTCCAATGCAGATAACAGTCTGAGATTAAAAACCTTCACTTAAAAGACTTCATGGGAAAGGAAGATCTTTAGTAATAATAATAATAATAATAATAATAATAATAATAATAATAATTTTATTTATACCCCGCCCTCCCCAGCCAAGGCCGGGCTCAGAGCGGCTTACAAGCAATAATAAAAACAAGAAGAATGATTACAACTTAAAATCAAAAATAAAATACAACATTAAAATAATGGAACATTAAAATATTAAAATGTAGCCTCATTGCAGGAGGAGAAGGAAAAGAAAAAAGAAAGAGAGGGAGGGAATCAAATTGGCTCCAAGCCAAAGGTCAGGCGGAACAACTCTGTCTTACAGGCCCTGCGGAAAGAAATCAGATCCTGCAGGGCCCTGGTCTCATGAGGCAGAGCGTTCCACCAGGCCGGAGCCAGAGTTGAAAAGGCCCTGGCTCTGGTTGAAGCCAATCTAACTTCCTTAGGGCCTGGGACCACTAGGGTGTTGTTATTTATGGACCTTGAGGCTCTCCGTGGGGCATACCAGGAGCGGCGGTCCCGTAGATACGAGGGTCCTAGGCCGTGAAGGGCTTTAAAGGTCAAAAGCAGCACCTTAAATCTGACCCTGTACTCTATCGGGAGCCAGTGCAGCTTGAAAAGCACTGGGCGAATATGCTCCCATGGCAGAGACCCCGTGAGGAGCCTCGCTGCAGCATTCTGTACCCGCTGGAGTTTCTGGGACAGCTTCAAGGGCAGCCCCGCGTAGAGCGAATTACAGTAGTCAAGCCTGGACATGACCGTCGCATGGATCACTGTGGCCAGGTCGGGGCGGGAAAGGTAAGGGACCAACTGCTTGATGCGGCGAAGGTGGAAAAATGTCACCTTGGCTGTTGCTGTAACTTGCGCCTCCATGGAAAGGGAGGCGTCAAGGATTACACCCAAACTCTTAACGGAAGGCAATGGCACTAATTGGGCCCCCGCAAGAGAAGGGAGTTGGTCCCTCATTCCCATGCCATCCCGTACCTCTGTCTTCGAAGGATTTAGTTTCAATCGGCTCCCACGAAACCATCTAGCCACAGCTTCCAAGCATCTGGTCAGTGTGTTCGGGGCCAAGTCGGTGTGGCCATCCATCAGCAGATAGAGCTGAGTGTCATCAGCATATTGGTGACAGCCCAGCCCAAAGCTCCGGATAATCTGGGCAAGGGGCAGAAGTATAATTTTAGCATGAGCAAGGAGCATTATTGGAACTTGGCACAACTTGGCCTGGCATGCTGATAAGGCTGTTGGGCACAGACATTGTATACAGTGACCCAGGATGCTTTCCTTTTCCTTCTTTGCAGCGGCCTGTGACACTGACTATCCTCCTGGAGAAATTTTTCTGGAAGGGGACATAAATCCCGAAGAGTCCTCTGAAACCGACGGCGTCTTGGCGGGCATCACCCTGGTGGGCTGTGCGACCCGCTGCAATGTGCCCAGCAGCAACTGCTCGTCCCGCGGAGACACTCCAGTGCTGGATAAAGGACAGAGTATGTCTCAGGTCACCATATGTGTATGTCAGTGAAGGGTTGCTTTTCTTCTTTAAATGCACCCATTTTACAGGTTTCAATGAAAAGGCTTCAAATTCAGCTATATGGAGCAAACACAGAGCAGTCAAATGACCCAAACACGTAATGAAATCGTGATGTCCACAAACGTCTTTCCCAGTGTAAATAATGGGAATATTTCCTGCTCATCAGGGAGGAAGGAAAAGAGAAAAGAATGATGGGAAAGACAAAAGAAGGGGAGGAGCTGACAGGTGTGTGTGTGTGTGTGTGTGTGTGTGTGTGTGTATATAAAGCTTGAGTTTGACTGAAATCTTAAAACATGTTGCCACTACAGAGTAAGTACAGTGGTACCTCAGGTTACAGACGCTTCAGGTTACAGACTCCGCTAACCCAGAAATAGTACCTCGGGTTAAGAACTTTGCTTCAGGATGAGAACAGAAATTGCACGGCGGTGGCGCGGCAGCAGTGGGAGGCCCCATTAGCTAAAGTGGTACCTCAGGTTAAGAACAGTTTCAGGTTAAGAACGGACCTCCGGAACGAATTAAGTTCTTAACCCGAGGTACCACTGTACTATTAAAAGATTAATTTCTGAGTAAACATCACTGCTTTGAATAAGATTTCTTGTGAGTGCTGCTAAAAAGGCAGGTTATCTGAATTCAGCCGGGAAATGACAATAAATCTTCTTTTCCTTCTGGAAACCCCCCTATGTGGAAATTATCATAGTTCTGTTCAGAAACATGCTCCTTCACAGGGTGTTAGCCACATCCACACCATATTGAAAGCACTCTTATACCACTTTAACCGTCACGGCTTTCCCCAAATAATCCTGGCGCCTGTAGTTTGTTAAGGAAGCTGAGAGTTGTTCCCCCACAGAGCTGCAATTCCCTGCACCCGTAACAAACTACAGCTCCCAGGATTCCTTGGGGGAAGCCATGACTTTTAAAGCTGTTTATGGTGAGGCGTCAGAGGTCCTTATATTTGTGGTGGAAGGAAAGGGATGATGGAGTAGAGAAGGTATGGCATCAGTTCCAGCCAAGCCAAATCCCAGTAGGGAGAAGGTGCTGGCAGGCTTCATAGTGAGGGGTGAAGTCTCAGGATACACCTACCCAATGTCCCAACGAGGGACTCCTGGGTTGTATTCAGCGGGGAAATAAAAGTGTGATGTGACACCCTGTCCTTAATAAAAACAACTGTGGTTGCAGCTATATGTGGGGAGGAAGAGAAGGGCATGGATACAGGGTCTTTGGGTGGGGGGTTCCCATGGAAGCCCAACAAGCAGTCAGCTGATACTGCAGCTGGCTGTTCATCTGATGGACATAACTGCTTTCTTTGCATCCCATCTCTTGCCTTTTCCATCTGCTTTCCTGCCTTCAGATGAGGTGCCTGCCGTGAGCAACAGCAAGATCAACCAGTCCCAGTCCACCGAGGAAGCGACAGAAGCTACAGAGGTGCCAGAGAATGGGGTACACGAAATGGAGCCAGCCCAAGTCCGCCCGGGCCCCCTTACGGAACATGTGTTTACAGACCCAACCCCAGTTCAAGTGCCTGTGAGGCAAAACAGGTAGGGGGAGTGATCCTTAAAGCCCCCTCTTCCTTGTCTTGAATGAGGAGGCCTATTAATCCAGGACAGACAAAAGAAAGTATTTAATTAAAGAATTCACTCCTCCCAATAAATAGCAATGGCCACCAATCTGGGCAGCTTCAAAAGGGGATTAGACGTATTCATGTGGGATAAGGCTATCAATGCCTATTAGTCAAAAGGCTATGTTCTACCTCTAGTGTCTGAGGCAGGGTACCTCTTAAGACCAGTTGCTGGGAGTTGCAGGAGGTGGACATGCTGTTATACCCAGGTCCTGCTTGCAGCCTTCCCATAAGCCCATTATGAGACTAGGATCCTGGGACGAGGTGGGCCTTGGGCCTGTTCTAACAGGGCTCTTCTTACATCCCTATCAGTTTTATTGAGAGTCCAAGAGAGGGGCCTGGAGAAATCACGTCAGTGCTGCTAATGCAGCAAAAACAACACGGGAGGCAGTAGTTGCAAGATATTAGTCTCTGCAGCCACAGCAGCAGCTGTGATTCTCCAGCCGTCTGACTTCACCTCCAGAGATGCTCTCTCTCCATTGGATTCCAACAGTTTTTAAAACCATTTTCGACATAGCCTCCGAGGCAGCTAACAAACCGAATGAAAATGACACAAAATGGAGTGCAAACATTTAAGGCAGAACCATGTTAAGGTTAACAAACTTGTAGAATTGATTGATTTGGCGTGACCCCCGCTAATTGATTTACGGTCCCCAATTAGCTCTTTATGGCCGGTCCGGCACACTTCCCTGCGAAGACTCTGCTCCGTCTCCAGTAGCTCCAGTCACGCCTCAGCAGAGTTGAACACAGCGGTAAAAACAGTCACGTACAGTCCTTTATTCCGACATTCCCCAGAAAACTCCTGGACTCACCGCAGCCATGGCAGACTGCGTCCTTCCCTCTCAAAAGACCGAGAGGAAGAGAGAAAACTCCTCCCAGCTTCGAAAGCTGACGTCAGAATGCTGAGGCATCATGGGAACAACTTAACCTGTTAAGTTCCAAACCCCATAAAACTTGCCTCTAGCAAAGCAAAAGTAATATTTTTCAGTTTATTGCCTAGCTCCAACCTGTAGTGTGTTTCCCCCCTCCCCCCCCTCCACAGTGAAAACGGGCAGCCAAAGATGGAGTCGAGCACAGCAGCCCAGGAGCAAGAGGCAAATGGAAACGCGGCTGGCACTACCACAAGCGCTGCCCCTACCATGTGGCTGGGAGCACAGAATGGCTGGTATGTCTCTCTAGCCCACAGTGGTGGCTTGGCGGCCCATTGATAACGTCGGTCTCTAGTCTCCAGGCAAGAAGCATTGAAAACAGCATAGTGCAAGGCAGAATGATGGGATAATTGGGTTCAGAGCAAAAGCAAACGCCCCCCTAGATTAAAACACTTCTTAGCACAGAGTTGGGGGACCTGTGTCAGTCTAGATGATGATATATTCCAACTCCCATCAGAGCTAGCCAGCATGGGGGGGGGGGGTTGATGGGAGTCTCAGTCCAACGACACCTGGAAGAAATTAGGTGTCCCGGCCAACCCCATATTAGAACTTGCAGGGGAATCTGCCGGTAATGTGACTTACTGTCAGGGTCCAGCATGGGGCAGAGAGGCCATTCTGCAAACAATCGGATGTTGGGGTCCTGGAGTGCAAAGCTGGCTGTCAGTCCAGGGGCCCCAGATGTGAGTAGTTTAGTCCCAGGCAAGTGGAGGCTGACTTCCAAAAGCAACAACCAGATCAGGTGGGCAGGAAGGCAGGCTGGGAGGTCAGATAGAGGAAGCGTGACATTGCACAGTCCAAGCAGTGAAGCACACCGCCCAGAACCAAGAGGCAAGCTTTGAAGCAGAGGTTTCACAGGGCCTGGAAGACGATTGTTCAGCTGATGGGCTGCTCAGTTAGGCTCCATTCCTGGCATCTCTAGGTATGACTGGGGAAATCCCGTCTGAAATTGTGGATAGCTGCTGTCAGTCAGTGTAAACAACACTGGGCTAGATGGACCAATGAGTCTGACACAGTGTAAGGCAGCTTCCTGCACACTACTTTATAGCCCAAATTGGTGTGGGGCTCGGGGACCGTACGGCCTAACTAAGCTACCTTTCCCCCAGGTTGTATGTGCACTCAGCAGTCTCAAACTGGAAGAAATGTCTACACTCAATCAAGCTGAAGGATTCAGTGCTGAGCCTGGTGTAAGTAGAGATGCTGAACTTGGTGTCTATGAATTGATACATAACTAACTATGGATATTCACATCTTTTAGAAAACTTGCTTGTCTGGTCAGGAGAGGGACTGTATCTCTGTAGAAGAGCACCTGTGTCACATGGAGAAGGTCCAGATTCAGTCCTTGGCATCTCCTGCTTTAAAAAGTGCCTGGTGGTGGTGGGTTATGGGAAAATCCCTCTACCTAACACCTTGGAGAGCCATCACTAGTTCAGAGCTGATAGCAGCACTCAGCTGGACAGACGATATAGGAAAGCAGCTTTCTATATAAAGGGGAAAGGACCGCAGCTCAGTTGTAGAGTGCATGGTTATGCAGAAGATCTCTGGCTCAGTTCCTTCCTGTTAAAAAGGAATCAGTTGATGTGAAATATCTCTTCCTGAGACCCTGCCAGTGAGAGGGATGCTACTAGGCTAAATAGGCAAATCATCTGACCCTGGTAGAAAACAATTTCCCATGTTCCACATTCCATATTTGCATTAGACATCATAGAATTTTAGAGTTCGGAGGCACTCTAAGGGTCATCTAGTCCAACCTTCAATGCAGGAATTGTACCATTGAACTTCATTCTCCACCAAGATTCCCAAAATATTTAAATTATGTAAACCAAGGGCTGAAGAGTCTCCCTGAAGAAACCAGAACCAGCAGAAATCCTGCTCAGCCCCCAACCAGCAAACAGCACAATATTTTGACAGTTCAGAAGGCCTTGCCAACTACCCTAAGGAGCTAGAAACTTTTTCTTTTTTGTTTGAAATTGAGAGCTTAGATCACCAAGACGTTGAATTCATTGCCTGTTTCCTGTGCTTGCATGGTGCGATCATACAATATTACTTAACTCACAGTTGTTGTTCATGTTCCTGCACAGTGTTATTACATGTCACTGCCTTGCTTTGAAACTATTCCTTCCCCATCCATCCCATGTACATTCAGGCACGTGAAAGGACGTGTTCTAGTGGCCCTGGCTGATGGAACCCTAGCCATATTCCATCGAGGAGAAGGTGGGTCCAACATTGTGGGGAATGATACAGTTTTGTTGTAAAGCTGGGGAAAGGCCTTGCAGTCAGATTTGGGAAATCAGGACTGGTGGGATTCAAAGGGACAAGTTTTCATTCCATGGAAGCTTTCCTCCTGGTTAGAGGAGTAGAGGTTTTTGGGGGGTGGGGGATAGGATTTCGGTTGGAACCACACGGGGTCAAAGTGTTAAAGCCCTTCCTCCTGCATACCACAGTTCTGATCCAGCTACCTATCCAGAGCAAGCTTCCATAGAATCAAGAGAATTGCAGAGTCAGAAGGATGCAGGAATCACAGCTAAAGAATCCCTAACAGATGGCCAGCCAACCTCTGTTTCAAAACCTCACATATGAGGTTTCACAAACCTCACATATGACCCTGACTTATCTGCATATCCTAACTAACAGAGACTTTAGTACATGCCGCAGAAGCTTGGGAAATCCCAGCTTTCCAATGTACAAATATGAAACCGTTCTAGATTTGCTTCTCCCCGATCCAGCCCACATGGGTGGAGGAGAGCAAGAGCACCCCTGCTTTGGTTATTTTTCCTCCTCTGACCCTTGTTACTCAAGCAAGACTTGAACTGAAACAGGAAGCCCTCTTATACTCCTTCCTGTCCGAGAGCATCCAATGGCCAGTGGTGGGCGGAGTCTGTCCAGGGTCTGAAAGTACTTCCCTGAGAAGCTGCCCCCTGCAGTTCAGTGGCTCACCACACAGGGCAGATCCCAGAAACACCTGATACATCAAGACCACCGAGACTCAAACCAGTCCTCTCTACCCATCTTCTTCCTTCTTTCCTGTGCGTTTATCTCTAGACGGTCAGTGGGACCTCAGCAATTACCATCTCATGGACCTGGGTCACACGCACCATTCTATTCGCTGCATGGCTGTGGTCTACGACCGAGTGTGGTGCGGCTACAAGAACAAAATCCACGTCATCCAGCCCAAAACGATGCAGATAGAGGTATGGCGAGGGTGTCTCTGAATGAAGGAACATGACAGAGAATCTAGGAATGCTTTCTAACTAAAAGTACTGTTGGGATTGAAGGTGTTTATTGGCTCATTCATCAATGAAGGCCTTGGGGGGCTAATTCATGTGAGCCTGTTTTAATCAAAAAGCTCAAGATTTTTACTGGGGAAACTGCAATTTAAGGGTACCATCTTTTATTGCTAAGATCTCTCATTTGGGGTGAAGGAGGCATCCAACAGAATTGGGTAGTCGGGATTTGCCAATGTGGTAGCCGCCTTATACCTGGAGAGACCTTCTCTGACCTTCACAGGCTTCCCTCCTCAGCTGAAGGAAGCAGGCATGGTTCCCCTCCTATTTTATCCTGTGAGGTAGGTTAGGAGGAGAGATAGTAAACAACCAGATCCAACTGAGTTTCGGGGTCAGGGCACCGGACCCTCAGCCTGAGAAGAGGTGCTATTTCCTGAACATCATTTCCTGAACGACGACTCTGGCGATTAAGTAAGAGGGCAACCATTGTGGAAACCCTGAGAATATTTCCCTTTTCTCTATGCCCTTTCCAGAAGTCCTTTGATGCCCACCCTCGCCGGGAGAGCCAGATCCGACAGCTGGCTTGGATTGGGGACGGTGTTTGGGTTTCCATCCGCCTGGATTCTACGCTGAGGCTGTACCATGCTCACACCCATCAGCATCTCCAGGATGTAGACATTGAGCCCTATGTCAGCAAAATGTTAGGTAAATGAAACAGCACGAGAGACAGCCCTTGGGAGCAGGGGTGGGGACTAGTGCTGTATGAATGAATGAATGAATGAATATGATCTTGGCCTTTTCAGTGACCTACACTACCCTAACTAACTCTGTTTGTGCCTCTCATCCAGGCACCGGAAAGCTGGGTTTCTCATTTGTGCGGATTACAGCGTTACTCATTGCTGGCAACCGTCTGTGGGTAGGGACAGGCAACGGGGTTGTCATTTCCATCCCTTTGACGGAGAGTAAGTCCATTTTCATTTCTTCTGCTGTATGCATTTTTCCTCTGTATGTGATTTTCTCAAACCGCTTCCCCCTCCTAGCAAGAGGATTTTCCGTGTGTGGATTCCAGCCCTTCACACAAGCTGACCCAAATCCAGCAGACTTTGTTTTTTGTTTTTAAAGCTTTCATTCATCCAGCTCTTAACTCATTGCAGTGAAGCTTGCGCAATGAATATCTATTGCAGATTGTGCTTATCACAGAGGCAAATGTTAAGCTTACAAGCAAATGCATCTAAAGAAGGCCCATTGGTTATTCTTTTTTTTAAATGAAAAGTATCACATCCAGTATTAGTCCTAATCCAAGTAGACCCATTGGCATTACTGGACCTAATTTAGTCATGTGAATTCATTTCATTGGGTCTACCCTGAGAAAAACCTAGTTGAAGACCACCCAATACGTCTACTCTGGGTGAATGTTACATGGATACAACCCCAGATTTGGAATGCATGATTTTGAAAGGAGGGCTTGTGTGGGAGTGTGCTTAATTCCACCTCCCCAGTGTCTTAACACACAACTGCTTTTCCCTCTGTAAGGTATTTGAATACAAACATCTGCAATGCCACATGCATAATGCAATGTAGATTTTCTATTTTTCTGTACCTGACTTCCCGAGGCCTTTGTATTTTTCCAGTATGTCTTTTTTGTGACATGCTGCAGCTCACAATGTTTTCAGAATGGAGACCTCTGCAAAGTCATTTAGCCATGAGACACCAGTGTGGTGTGGCAGCTGAGTGAGGTGGTGCAAATAATGTGGTTGGTCGTAGGTTTAGAGATCTAGAGACAGCTCTGAGCACAAAGGTTCCCAAACTATGGGACACAAACTCTCCGAGATCTGCAAAAAAGGTGTGTTGGGTTTTTTCCTCAGACCAGAGATGAAGTGGACATGTAGGGGGAAAGAGTTATGATATTTGTTTGAAGGAACTTGGGGCATGGCAATAAACTCCAGGAGAGCTGTTCCCAATCACAGTACAGTCCTGTACTGTACTATACAAGTAGCCTGAACTGGTTGAAGGCAACATCCCCTCTGTTCCTAAATCATGATGGGTTTGGGGCTAATGCCAGTTTTCTGGTCTTCTATCATTTGGCGAGGCCACTGGAATGTGCCCTCCTGTCCTCTAGGGGGGCATGTGTTCATCAGAGGATCCATGGAGAACAAGGGATGGGTCCCAATCACTGCATGTGGCTTCCCACCTCAGAGGCGACACCTAGTGGTGCAAAATGGAGATGCAAAGCAGTACTCTGGGTGGATAATTCTCTGAATTCTAAGCACCTGTTGCTGAGACAGCATTTAGTATCAAGTCTCTTAATATTGTATTATTATTATTTGGCTGTAATGCTGTGCCTCTTGTTAAAAGAAACGTATGCATTTTTGCAAAGGAACTAAATGTCAATGTGCTCCTTTTGCTGCTGCTTCCAGTAATTGCTGTTTTCTTCTCTTCCCTAACTTGTGCCCTCTGTTCCTATTTTCCCCTTCCTGCTCTCCCTCGCTTCCTCCTCCTAGCTGTAGTCCTCCACCGAGGTCAGCTCCTTGGGCTCAGGGGTAAGTCCAAGACCTCTTTCCATCTAGATTCCAGGTGCCATCCTATATCTAACCCACTGACTTCTCCATCCTTTAATCCATCCACTCACTTTTCTTCCTCTGCCTATTCATTCATTCATCTCTCATTTTCATTTGAAATTGCCAAAAAAATGTAAGAGTGGGAATATTCTTGTGAATCTGTGTTAGGAAAGTTCAGCAGATCATCACTTCTGAAGGCCGCCCCTTGCATGTTAGTTTCAGAACCTTTAAACCGGTTCCTTTCTGTTTCTATCTCGTGATGAAAGAAGGTGATAAAGCAGAAATGTCGTCACATGCCTAGGAATTCTTAACATAGCTATACATTTAAACAGAACAAAAACAAAAACCCACAAGTAGCACTTGTACCACTTCAGAAGACAGATTGGAAATTGCATGTGAGGACAGTGAGATCCCTGCCACTGGCAAAACAGTGCTGAGCGCTCCTGGGTTTCCCCCATTCCAAACATGTCAAATGATTTGAAATATTTGAAAGTGCATCCTTAATCCAGCCGCTTTTTATTTTGAAAACAAAGCTGAAGCTGACATGGGGCCCACAATCTGGAAAATATCCCTAATCCAGTTTGGGTGTCAGTTTCCTGATTATAATCACTCCCTTCCTGGATGTGATTTGCCCCCAAAGATACTTTTTGCAGTGAACTGTGGCTTAGGGTGGCAAAAAGCTGGGGTGGGGAGGGTAGAATTTCAGAAGGAAACTCATCAAGGTGCTTTCCAGACTGCAGTTGCTTTTCTTCAAAAAATACAACCGGCCAATTTAAGCATGCTTTTACAGACCCGCGCATAATATAACTCTGGGTCAGTTCAACAAACCTCCTGCAGAATAGCTCCCTCCCCACTGGCAGAGGAAGCGTGTGTGGTCCGCCCCAGGTGTCATCCCTGAGGGGGGGGTGGCATCGCCCCACCGCCCCCTGGGATGCTAGCCCCGCTCCTGCAGGCAGATAACCCTGCCTCCAGGTACACAGTACAGTGGTACCTCGGGTTAAGTACTTAATTCGTTCCGGAGGTCCGTTCTTAACCTGAAACTGTTCTTAACCTGAAGCACCACTTTAGCTAATGGGGCCTCCTGCTGCCACCGCGCTGCTGGAGCACGATTTCTGTTCTCATCCTGAAGCAAAGTTCTTAACCCGAGGTAATATTTCCAGGTTAGAGGAGTCTGTAACCTGAAGCGTATGTAACCTGAAGCATATGTAACCCGAGGTACCATTGTACATGCACTGCTCCGGGTGCCAGAGCAGCTAGCTCCACCTCTGCCCCTCCCCCACCTTCTTGGAGCTCTCCCTAGCAGAACAAAAGGGACATTTTTTAAAAAATTGAAAGCAATGAAACCACTTCCAGACCAGCCACATTTCTCTTTACAAGTGTTAAATATGCTTTTGGAAATCTTTGTCTCAACTCATGGAGCTATACTTCCCAGGGTTCTCTGGGGAGAGAAGAGACGGATTCTTTATTATGTGGTCCTAGTCCTGATGGAACCGAACAAAATAAAACCAACAACCATATAAGTAGAATATCATAACATACAAAATTCATTAGAATGGGTTGTAATACATAGGTGATATAAAATATCAGGGATATCCAAGTCTGATCCTTTTAGAAAAACTTGATGCAAGAGAGGAGAGAAACTGAAACATATTTATCAACACACAGTGCTCACTAGGCTCCATCTCAGGATAGGGCTCTACGTAAATCTTTTTATACTAATTACCCCCAGTCTGGGGAGATGTTTATTCTCCAGGAGAACACCCTAAGATCTAAAATGTACTAGCTTGAGCCACGATCCGAAATCTTAAAATGAGATGTTATTTTTTCAAGGGTAGGCGACATTTTTTAAGTTGCTAGGAGCAGACCAGATTGTCAAGCCAGATGTTACTGGACTTTCCCCTCCTGACAATTGGACAGGAGAAGGAATTCATGGCACTCACGCTTTGTAGGATAATTAAACCAGTTTAGGCACGTGTGGTGCAGCCAGCTCTTACATTTCCCCCTCCTTATAGCTTGCTTTTAATTTGTGTGTATTGCCTTCAGCCAATAAGACATCCCCAACATCTGGAGAAGGGAACCGGCCTGGCGGGATCATCCACGTGTACGGCAGCGACGACAGCAATGACAAGTCTGCCAGCAGTTTTATCCCTTACTGCTCCATGGCTCAAGCCCAGCTCTGCTTTCATGGTCACCGTGATGCGGTCAAATTCTTTGTCTCTGTGCCTGGTAAGCGGAACATCTAAAGTACTCCGTGAATGCCATTCTGTCAGTGCATCACGACGCTAAGTGCTTATTGTGAAACCTGAAGGCTTATGCAGAATTCTGAGGCGCTTTCCACTGCAATGGCCTTTCCTGTGATGTTCAAGAACATCTTAAGAATCGCCCTGCTGGATCAAGTCCAGGGCATAGCTATCTGGCCCAGCATCCTTTTCTCACTGGGGTTAACCAGATGCTCCAGTGAGAAACCCAAAAGGACTTGAGTGCAAACAGCATTCTCGCCACGGGTGATTCCCAGTAACTTTTGGGGCCATTTTGCCAGTGACATAGGAGGTAGACCCGTCGGGATGATAGTAGTGTTGATAGCCTTATCCTCCATCATTTTGGTTTCCCAAAGCTCAGTTGTATATCTCAGCTGCTCAGAACAAGCTCTGGATTCTTTCAGGTAACGTTCTGGCAACACTGAACGGGAGTGTGCTAGACAGCCCCTCCGAGAACCCCAGCACGGCCACCATCGAGGCTGAGGGCCAGAAGCTGAAGAACGTCCTGGTGCTTAGTGGTGGGGAAGGGTACATTGACTTCCGGATTGGTGAGTTCTTTTACATATATATCCTCATTGTGCAGAGCAGCAGGACAAGTTAGCGTAGAGGTGGCTAAGGAAGAAATTTCTATTATTTATTGAATTTATATGCCGCCCTATACCCGGAGGTCTCAAGGCGGATAACAGAATAAAATCAAGATATGAAACCACAAAATACAGTGGTACCTCGGGTTAAGAACTTAATTCGTTCTGGAGGTCCATTCTTAACCTGAAACTGTTCTTAACCTGAAGCACCACTTTAGCTAATGGGGCCTCCTGCTGCCGCTGCGCTGCCACCACACAATTTCTGTTCTTATCCTGATGCAAAGTTCTTAACCTGAGGTACTATTTCTGGGTTAGCGGCGTCTGTAATCTGAAGCGTCTGTAACCCAAGGTACCACTGTACCTAATAAAAATAAACAACAACCCAATAGCCCCCCCCAAAAAAAAACACATTTTAAAAGGGCATAGGATGTAAATCGGATCAACCAAAGGCCTGGTTAAAAAGGAACGTTTTTGCCTGGCACCTAAAGGTGTGTAATGAAGGCGCCAGGCGTCTGGGGCCACAGATGGGGAGCCACTGCAGAGAAGGCCCGTTCTCCTGTTGCCACCCTCCAGACCTCTCAAGGGGGCAACACACGAAAAAGGCTTCAGAAGATGATCTCAGGGTCCAGGTAGGTTCATATGGAAAGAGGTGGTCCTTGTGGTATTGCGGACCTGAGCCGTTTAAGGCTTTATAGGTCAAAACCAGCACTTTGAATTGAGCCCAGAAACTAATTGGTAGCCAGTGCAGTTGGACCAGGATCAGTGTAATAATGCTCAAACCGTCTTGCTCTGATGAGCAACCTGGCCGCTGAATTCTGCACTAGCTGAAGTTTCCGAACCGTCTTCAGAGGCATATCACATTCATATGTACCACTTTAAGTGTGTCCTGTAGTTTAGGGGTTCTGAGTTTTCCTGCCGTTGTCCTTAGCAGGTGCAAAGAGCCCTGGTTTTGATTGGGATTGCAGCAAGGACAAAGGGATGAATGGCCCTTCTCTCCATGCCATAGTCCCCCTCTGAGTCAGACTTCCCCCTCACATCATCTATTTGTTAAAAGAAAAAGCAACCACACCATGGCAAACATCCGTATCTTGTTTGGCCCTTTGAGAGTTATGGCACAGGACAGCCTGCTTCCACCCTTTCCTCTGCCACAGACTCAGCAGTTCCCCAACTCCCCTGCTTGCACAGACCACTTAGAAGTTGCTGAGAGTCTTGGTGGATCACCTAAGTGATTTTTTTGACCTTGTTATAGCAATTGAAATGTGCTGTGCTAAATAAGGTGTGTTTTTTAATTGTATTTTTAACTGCTTCTGTAATTATCTCATTTCTTATTGTACTACAATAAAAAGAAGCAATAAAACCACAATTAAAAATCAGTTTGAATATGTAATGCAGACACACTATGGACAACCTGAATCAAGCTTTCCACTCGGGAGAACTAGATGAATTTAGACCTCTCCCACTCCGCAACTCTCCACTTGCAGGACTTCGATAAAATAACTTAGGTCTACAGAGTTGGGGTAAAGATTATAATAATGTATGCAAAGCGCTCTCAGGCATCTAAAGATGCTATGTAAATGGTACCTATTACTAATGATTGGGAGGCCTGCTTGGTGGAGCTTTGGTGCTTCCGTGTTCTTCTCTTCCATTCATTGTACAAGGTCTCTCCACAGGAGATGGAGAAGATGACGAGACGGAGGAAAACGCAGGAGAAGCCACCCAAGTCAAGCCCATCCTCTCCAAGGCTGAACGGAGCCACATCATTGTGTGGCAAGTTTCCTACATCCCCGAATGAGCTACTCTTGTCTTTTCTTTTTCTGCCAATTATAACTCTCTCCCCTCTGATTCCCCCAAACTCCCGGAATGCCAGTATGTACATACCAGAACTCCTGCATTTCTCCTACTGCTGGAAAACCGAGGCCCCAGACAACCAACCGCAGCAGCTCCTGCACTGGATAGCGGCTCCCTCCCTCATCTAACCTCCAAACTTGCAGCTTTCATCTTGGGCCTGCATGCTTTCCAAAACGGCTGGGTTACTGCCAGCTTTCCAAAGGGGGAGAACCATGGCAGTGAAGGCCCCTCCGCCCCCAAGTGAGGCAACGAGAGATGCACAGGCAGAGTGGACTTGGCTTGGATGAGGTTTTCAAGACGGTCCCCTCCCTCCTTCCTTCATCTGCCCGCATGGAAGAACTAAGATGTTTACCGGCTCTTGCCCCTGCCCACTTCACCACCACGGAGGCAGCGCTGACGGCATGCACTGGTCTGCAAACCAGGACTAGAGAGATGGATCCCATCATAGCAAAGCGAACATTCCAACCTTGTCTCCTTCGCTGTCTCTCTATGGGACCTGCTCACAGGGGATTATCTGGGATAAATTGGGAGGTTGGGAATCCAAAAGAGCGTATGGATGCGTTTGGGAAGACTGTGGTATGGAAGTCAACAGCGGGACGTCAGTGCCCAGAGACGGACCACAGGCGCATGATGGGCTTCCACCGCTGAAGCTGTTTAGATCTGGGCCTGGGCACTTAAAAGCATAACTCAAGTCGGTAGAGCATGAGACTTTTAATCTCAGGGTCATGGGTTTGAACCCCACGTTGGGGTTTTGCAGGAGGTTATGGTCCCTTCCAACTTTACACTTCTGTGATTCTATTTATGGGAGACCTCTTTGAGAGTCCCAGGGTGCCCAGTTCTGAACTCCTTAGAGGAAGGGGAAGATTCAAGCCTAACAAATATCATAGATAATAATTCAGGTGAGAGGCACAATTGGTAGACTTGAAGGTGGAACGGGCATCTCCAGCTCTTTGTAGCAGTGGATGGTGTGCTGATGGAGAGGAAGGCAATATGTATGTTTAGCTGGTATGTGGAGAGTCATCGAAAGAACTGGGAAGTCCTCTGCTGCCGAAAGGCCACCAAGGTGTGCTTTGTGCTCTTTTACCTTGTGTTGTTCCACGAGGGCCCCAAGGGAGACTTGGGTGTTGCATACGGCTCTCAAGAGGTATTCAAATGTATCTTGCAGGCAATTCAGGAAAGCACACAGTCAAGATGGAGACTAGGCCCCTCCCTCTCCATGACATATTGAAAGCGGACTTGGGGGAGATGGAGCAAGGCAGTCGGTGGAGAGGTATGTGCTTGGGGAGGATGGGCTGGGGAAATGAAGAAATGGGGAAACGAGCTGAGGAGAAGACATTGGTCCTTTGTTAAGTGGCTTCCAGAAGCAGCAAGAAAGGAAGCAGAGATGGTCTTGTTGGGAGAGGATGTTGAGAAAGCAGCACCCACAGCTGTGGCATGCAAGTTAGGGCGCTGCCACTCTGCTGGCTGCTCACCCGGTTGGTGACAGGTGTGCACACTCATAACACACATCCCACCTGTTGCTCCCCTTCTCTTGCCACCACCCTGCCACATCCAGTGGTAGTTCCATCCCAGCCAGTGAGCCTCGTCTCATGCATCGTGACTCGGCACCAGTGACTGGGAGTGGATTGCTGCTTGAGATGAAGTTGTAAACAGCTGGTCCTCTGGGATATAAGGAGGTTTCTGCCGTAGGCAGTTGAGAGGCTGATGAACTTTAAAGGCTGTGGGAGGAAGCAGCAGGAAGAAGCCCAGAAATGTTAAGTGCTCTTAACGTCTTATTTAAATCTCTCAGAACCTTTCACGTTTTAATTTTCTTTGGAGCCAGGGGAGACCAAGGTTTTTCAGAGAGGGAGGTGGGTCTTAGAGAGAGACAGACAGACAGACAGACAGACAGACAGACAGACAGAGGGGGCCAACGTCCTGGCACTTCTTGGTAGAGTCAAAGCTTGGGACTGTCCTCGTGCCCTTTCTTTGTTTGCTTTGTAGTAGAGTGAGATTATTGCAGGCTTTTTTCTTTCTTTTTTCTTTTTGCATCTCTCAGGCCTCCTCTGCCTGCCTCTGTGGGCAATGTTTTCTTTCTCCAACATGCCTGAATGAGCTCTGAGAAAGCATAGACTAAAAAGGAAGTCCAGTCATAGTCTGAACAGCTTGTGGGAACACTTGCCCCAATCCAGTCAACCGTACCACGCTGTGACTTAACCCACTTTCTTGTGTGCTGAGTAGTGGCTTGGGTACGGCAAGCACACAAGCACCATGGCACACATATCGAATGCCTTACAGCTCCATTCCTTAACACCTGGCCACAAGCTGGACCTGTGCAGGGACCCCTACTCTATGTGTGGTTTTATGTCACTTGCTTACTCAGAGCCACCCAGAGCAACAAAATGTACACAGAGATGAAAGAAATATGGCAAAGGCTGAAAAGGTCTATGGGTTCCGCACAACAAACCAAGATGAAGAAAAAACAAGAAAGAGACGTTAAGTGGTAAAGCTGGTGGGTGGGGAGGACGTTGCAACTTGCAAGTCAACATTGTTGATCTCTGACCCATAGTTTTTCACCGAGAGCAGGAGAGAGGAAATCTAGGAGGCTGGTGAAGTCATTGAGGTAGTTTGATTTGAAAGAGCACAAAATGTGGTTAAGTAAGCAAGGCTTGAGATCAAACGGGGGCTTTATTCATGATGAGAAAGAGAGTGAGGCTTACAGGGTAGGTAGCAAAGGCGGAGGGAACAGATATCAGGAGCAGAGCATCTGCTTTGCAGGAAGAGGATTCAGTCCCTGCCATCTTCAGTTTAAAAAATGATCATGAAGAGAGCGGGTGGTGGGAAAGACCTCATCATAAGACTCTGGGCAGCCACTGCCAGTCAGTCTACATTGTACTGGGCAAAATGGAAAGTCTCAGCTGCTGTAAAAGCAGCTTCCTAGGTTCTCTTATTTTTATTCTGTCCATTAAGTTTCCAGATTTCAGGCCACTCTTGAGAGCCAGTGTGGTGTAGTGGTTAAGAGTGGTAGTCTTGCAATCTGGGGAACCGGGTTCGTGTCTCTGCTCCTCCACATGCAGCTGCTGGGTGACCTTGGGCCAGTCACACTTTTCTGAAGTCTCTCAGCCCCACTCACCTCACAGAGTGTTTGTTGTGGGGGAGGAAGGGAAAGGAGAATGTGAGCCGCTTTGAGACTCCTTAGGATAGTGATAAAGCGGGATATCAAATCCAAACTCTTCTTCTCTTCTTAGGCCTTACCCTACCAGACCTACCTGGAGGTGACACACTAGGGAGATATCAACAATTTCACTGAGCGCAGCTAACGCCTTATTTTCCATGTCACAAGGAGGTCCCAACCCTTTGGGATTGGCTTTTCAGTAAACAAGGAGCCAGACCGCCTCCTGATACTGCTCCTACGGAAAAGGTTTTGTTGCCCAATGCCAGCATATCCTAGCTGTTTTCTAGACTACTGATGAAATAATAGTGTGCAGGAGAGAGAAGAGCAGATTGTTAAGACACCCTTTCATTATTCCATTTGAAACAGCAGTGCCATCAGCCAAGATTTGCTATTCTCTTGGGGCAAGTTAGCAAGTAATACCACTAATCTATCCTGTCACATTCCCCACCACCATGCCTGCCCCACTGCAACCCTAGTGCTCTGCTCAGAAAGATGGCCACAGTCCAGGTGGAGTTGAATCTCTGTTCATTAGAGGGCAAAAGACATAAAACAGCTAATCCTCTGTGCTTGTCCCAATTAAGGAGAGAATGAAGCAGATCTTGTACTGCTTGCTCTGAAGTGGGGGAGAGGGGAGCTGGGAAGGCGACACAGGGCCTGTAGCTCACAGGTAGAATATCTGCCTTACATGCAAAAGGTCCTGGGTTATAAATAAAAGCCCTGATGTCTCCAGGTAGAGTTGGGGAAAGCTCCTGCCTGTCAGTGTAGACAATACTAAGCTAGATGGACTACTCACCTGACTATTCTTATGCTTCCTATGTTCTTATTTTGTTCAGTCTGTTCTGGGGGTGAAATACCTTTTGGAAGGGGTGGGAGGAAACTAACGTGACCTGGAGGGCAACCTGACAACAGCAGAGCCTGGGAGGAGAGAGAAAGGGAAGTCGGTTTTTTAAAAGTGAGGACCGGTGGGGTGGGCAGCTTTGGCTTAGGCACTACTTAGCAGTGGTGCAGCTAGGTGGTTTTAGACTCTGGCCTTAATGGTCTCCCAGCCCGGCAGACCTTTAGATGGGAACATGTATTGCTTCACTTACCGCATTTTTGAAGTAAGCTGCATTTGGGAAGGGGAGAGCTGCTCATTCTGCTGAGTTGGGTCTGGGTTCCATAACTTCTGCCCCCAAAGCCCTACCCCTACAGCACCACGGCAGTTTAGAAGGCACGTGTGTGGAGTCCGACAGGGTGCCATGGTTTTAAAACTGATCTACCTGTTGCCAAAAGACCTGAGAGCAGGATTACTTCCTCATGCAGAACTGAACCAAGGTATGGTCTTTTTTAAACAAAAACAAAAACAGATACAACTGCAAAGCCTTCTGCAGTTCTCAGTTCCCAGCATTTATTAGTCAGGATACTGCTCCTTTTGCCTCCCCTGCCTACAAATATATGCCCAAAGAACCTTTCACAGTTTGAAGTTATGTTTTCATTGAAAAGAAGCACATGTTCAAGGTGGGGGGGGACGCGGGGGGAGGGAGAGGCGTAGCTATCGGGAGAAAGCCTCACAGTGCTGGCTGTTGACTCCTGATAGCTACCTGCCGGCAAGATAAAAGCTGATTTGACTTACAGACACCTCCCCGCCACATCTCCACTGTGATGTATGTAAAGTTAACTTGTAAGTTATAAAAGGAATTTTTTTAAAAAGTGTCTTAAGGCCTGTCAACTCTGCTGTTTTGGTCTAAAGATGTAAAGAGACTGCTGTATGAAAAAACAACCCCACTCTCCCTATGCTTTGTCCCTTATACGCTATCCAAAAGATGACCATATTTGTTCTGTATGTAATAAAAAAAAATGTGTTAACATCACAGGTTCGAGAGCATTGATAAACACACACTAGAAGTGGCATTTTTAAGGAACTACTGCCATGAAGTTTCTTGCATCTTTTGATGGTGCACACCCGAGTGATGGGGGGGGGTGTCACCTGCAACAATATGGTGCAAGTATGACGTGCCCTTGTTCTGGACTCCCAGCCAGCCATCCACACCCTTTTCCAAGATACACCACCCTGACAGACACGAGTAAAAACGACTGCCTTTTCCCAAAATTTATTTTACAAAAGCAAAATGCAGCCAGTATTTAAAAAGTAGCCCTGTACATATTTATAGATGTAAACAATCTCCTTTTGGGAAATATCTGGAAGAACAGTAACATGCAGTGGGATAAAAGATCCCAGAGGAAAACACAGGAACCATGATAGCTTAGTAACAATACTTCTTCAGCCAGGTCCCAACTTAATGGGATTTGGCTGTTTCCAGTCTATCAGAGGCCTCCAGAGACGCCAGCTTCTGCTCCCAAATCCCATCATTCTGTTCCTACTGAATAGTTGTCAGCTGTGAATATTTTTTTAAAAAACAACACAGGTGGGCAGTGGTCCTCCAAATGTTGTTGGACTCCAACTCCCATCAGCCCCAGACAGCATGGTCAACAGAAGTGATGGAGGCGCCAACATCTGGAGACCTGAATATTTTCCATCCCTAAGATAAAACATGCACAAAAGCAGCTCCCCCCCCCGCCTGTCCTGGACTATTGGAGAAAGTGGGGCGGGTATGAGATACAAGCAGCGTGAATTCTGCATTTCAAGTCATTGCCCAAAAAGAAATTGCATTCACTAGAGAGAGCACAGGACGTAACAGCAGCTGTATAAGCCCTGTTGCTCAAGCTCGGGATATTGCTAGCTGCGAGCAATTGTTTGTATTTGCTGCTGCTTAAGTAAAGCGAAACAGCACAGCTCCCCTTGCTTCTGTCTTATTTGATGTTTCCTTTTGGAAAGAGCAGGGGCAGCAGGCTGGATCTGTATTTCCCCCACCCTTCCCATGCGGAAAGTTGGGAAAGTAGGAAGCGCCAGTCACCTGATGTTGCAATTACGTTGGGTGGCCTATTTTCACCTGCGTGGTTTGAAATCAAACTCTTGTGGCCAGAGGCATGGTGCTTTGCAACCCCAAAGATGCTGCGGATAGCAGTATGCAAGCCCAGGCAATCCGCTGAGTAGGAATGCAAAGGGGGGTCTGTGCCCTGTAGCTAGTAAAACTGTGGCCTAACATAGTGGGGTAGTCTTTGCAGGCTTGGATTGGGAGGCAGCAGGAAAACCACTAATGAAGCCCTTTGAAAATACATTCTAAAAGTGAGAAAAGAGAACTGGAATCCCCTTGGTGTGTGCTTTTCCATATTGGTTTAATAGCGCAGATTTCTCTAATATTACCCCCAAAAGGCTATAATTGGGGGCTGGGGAGGCAGGGGGAAAGGGAATTAAATTACTAGCTGTTAAACTGACATATGTTCGTTCAGATCTAAAATACTCCTGCCCTTTTTCTTCCCCACCCAACTCAACAAAAGAAGAAAGCTACCCAGGGGGATCCCAGATAAGCTGAAAGGGAATGGATGGGTTTGTGCAGTGCCTTTGTGACAGCAGCAGAGGGGGCAGGGCTTCAGCTGCTCTGCCTTACTCATAAATCCAGTGATCTGTGCTGTCTTCCCAGCAAGCCAGTTCATCTGTGCGGAACCAGAGCAAGATCTCTCGCTGGGCGCTCTCCACTGAATCGCTCCCGTGGATCACATTCCTGTAGGGAAAAGGAACAAGTATATCCCACGGTGCAGCTGGATGCATTGTGCCACAGTTAACTACGTTCTTGTGCAGTTGGGCATATATGAGTACGATGAGCTAGGTTTCAATTGCCAGGTACAGAAAAAGCTCCTGCCAAATCCTGAAGAGCTGCTGATAGGCCAGATGGACAAATGATGTGACTGCCCACATTCACACCATACATTTAAAGTGCTGCGATTCCACTTTAAGCCGCCACTGCTTTCTCCCAAAGACTGCTGGGAAACTGTCCGTGGTCCTGAGAGGAGACCCCTGATTCCCTTCACAGAGCTACCGTTCTCAGAGAGGTCTAATCATAAATCCCTCTTCAAAGGAAACTGGGAATTGTAGCTCTGCAAGGGGAATAGGGCTCTCCAAAGAACTATCAGCACCCTTGACTAACTACAGCTCCCACAATGTATGGTGTGGATTTGGGCTCTATACAACAGCTTCTTATGTTCCTAATAGGGTAGGGGGAAAGGGATGAAAAATGATCATTTCCATTTTTATAACCTTATGCAATAATTCATCAAAGTCTTTTCTTATTTTCCAATTCTTTGCTGTTCGTTTCCCACTTCCTGCTGCTGCTTCCCTCCTGCCCCATTTTCCCAGCTCTCTCTCTTTCTTTCCCTTATAAAAGGTCCATTTTGCTGAGGGAGGGTGTTTGCTCACAGACGGGATGGACTGTATTAACAGCATGTGTATTGGCAGGCAGGGACACACTAACAATAAACCCTGGAAGAAGCAAAAATACTCCACTTGCCTCTCAAATCTATGAAGCTGGAGGTCATTTCTAACATTACTGGGAGGCAGTTTAATTTTGGCCCATGTTCACATAAAAATGCTTCCTTCTTACTTACAAACCCATAATCCACATTGGCTGCATCCACATGTCACAATAAGCCCTTGTCCACCCAAATTAGCCTGATTTGGTTTGGAATTTGGTTAGATCTAGTGCACAGTCCGATCTGAAACATTTGCACTAAACAGGATTTTGATTATCTTTGCTAGACACACAGCATGTGTGAACAATGCCCCTATCTCCTAATGCAGAAACAAAAAAGCCTTCCTGATTTATTTATTTTTAATCATCCTCTGATTTAGTTTCCACTCTGTTTACAGGAATGCAGTTTTAGAGCACCTCAGGCAGAAAACGGCACCTGGCTGAGCCCCCATTCCTTGCTGTGGTGGACCAATAGTTGCATTGCCGGAGTCACACAAAACGGTCAGAAGAGAGAACTGCCCCAAAAGTAAACAAGGTTTTCACTCACTTGCCAACTTCAATGCAGAAGTCACCTCGGATAGTCCCAGGCTTGGAATCTGCTGGGTTAGTTTCGCCAATCATGACGCGAGCTGTCTTCACCACTTCCAGTCCCTGCCAAACCTGGGGTGAAGGGAAGAAAAACTCCCACTAGCATTAGACCTTTTGGTGACCCGAGACACACCTTTAGTCCTATAGCACATTTGGGGAGCCCTTTCTTTCTTTGTTGCTGCCTGTTTGGACGGTGGTCGTGCTGTTGCTGGTGTCACCTGCCTTAGATCAAACCGTGACCCACTTGCTGAAAACCAGTGGAAAAGGCAACCTTCTCAGTGCCAGTGGCCTTGTTCTGCTAAACCACTTGAGAAAACATTAGGAGTCCTGGGGAAGAGGGAAGTGATGAGCCTCCCTCTCTTCTCAAAGAGAAAGTATTTCTTACAAGGTTTCCCAACCCCCAACCCCCCAGTGTTTTGCTGTCTGGGATCTTAGAGGGCAAAATGTCAGAACGTGCCAACAAGACTGCTCTTCTATACTTGGGTATTGTTAGAAAATATAGATGTGTTAGGAGATAGGACCCTCACATAGAAGAAGAAGAAGAAGAAGAAGAAGAAGAAGAAGAAGAAGAGGAGGAGTAGTAGTAGTTTGGATTTGATATCCCGCCTTTCACTCCCTTTTAAGGAGTCTCAAAGCGGCTAACATTCTCCTTTCCCTTCCTCCCCCACAACAAACACTCTGTGAGGTGAGTGGGGCTGAGAGACTTCAAAGAAGTGTGACTGGCCCAAGGTCACCCAGCAGCTGCATGTGGAGGAGCAGAGACGTGAACCTGGTTCCCCAGATTACGAGACTACCGCTCTTAACCACTACACCACACTGGCTCTCATAGCAAAATGCATTTGTTTCACTCACCATGGCCACAACAGGTCCAGAGCTCATGTATTTCACCAGGCGGTTATAGAAAGGACGCTCACGGAGGGCGATGTAATGCTCCTTCAACAAGTCTTCAGAAGCCTAATCAATCAATCATTTTATTTGTATGCTGCCTTTCCAAAGTCAAAATCGTATTAAAAAATTACAAAATAGAAACATAGCAAAAGCAGTCATAAAACAATAAACGAAACATCAAAAAGTGCACAAGTTGAAGAATTTCCACATAAATCGTAGGATCCAAAATAAAGATACAAAAAATCAACATCAACAACCCCAACCCCCCCCCAAATCCCTAAACAATACTCCAGCTTTGGTAGTTGGAGTTTGTCAGGGCCCCATCCTCCCAGCCAAGTGGGAAAAAGCCTACGAGGCAGGAAGCAGGTCTTCCAGGATGAACACGTGGTCAAACACATGCCACAGACTTGATCAATGATGTGTAGTTCTATAAACAATTTTGCTGATTTTTAGTATGTTTCGACTGTTTTTAGTCTTTTATTTTGTGTGTGTAAACTGCCCTGGGAACTTGCTTGAAGGGTGGGAGTAAAATCTCCTAGGGTTATGATGATAATCAAAGATCAGGAAATTAACAGTTGAGTCAGCATCATTATCACCACCATCAGTTTATATATTTATAGGCCACTTTCCCACAGAATTGTGCCCCAAGCATCTCACAACCCAGCAAACAAACCCAAAAATAGAACCATGCAAAATTAAGAACAATTTAAACATTAAGAACAATTTAAAATAACAATGATGTCAATGAATCCAGAAAATACTTGCATACAATGTTAGATAAGGCAATACAAATAAGCCAACCTAATTTAATCGGTTTTAACTAGGGAAGCAGGCAGAGGCAACAACAGGCCCTGTTCCAGCTGGATTGACCTTTCTCCACCACCCCACCAATTTTAAATGTTCTTTTGTGGTCCTTTAAATTTGTAAACTGCCTTGGGTGCTGTGGTAGAAAGGCAGTTTATAATTTCAATGAATAAACCAACAAAATATAGAGAATAACCCCCAACACAAAAATAGAATGATAGCGTGCAAAGATAATATACAACACTGGGTGCGATCAGACTGCCCTGGTGTGTGGCCTTCAACCTCCAGGTCTCTGGTCTTCAGGCCAAATTTGGCCCACCAGGCACCCCCCATTTGGCCTATAAGCCAATTTCCCCCAAAACACAGTCATTTCCTCCACACCTGGCATCCTATGTGAAGCAAAGTGTGTGGCAGGTTGTGGCTGAATCGGCTGCTTCCATCCCAATGCCTATAGAAAGCAGGACTGGACGCCTGGTGCACAGGGAATTCAATCCCGCTTGGTTGTTGTCTCTTCCCCACCATGAGCCACCTTTGACAGATGGATGGGACAACCCACTTGTCAATCACCTGGTGTCCGATGATTGACAAGTGGGTAACCCTAAGTTAGCCCACAGAATGGAGGTGGAGGTGGCAGGAAGATGAAGATGTGGTCCACTGGGTCATAAAGGTTCCCCATCCATCTCTCAACAAACAGCTTAGGTACTCAGCCAAGTATCCTGACCTGCATGAGCTTCATGGCCACCAGTTTGAAGCCCTTCTTCTCGAAGCGTCGGATGATCTCTCCAACCAGATGCCGTTGTACCCCATCTGGCTTAATGGCCAGGAAGGTGCGTTCATTTACACCGGTGAATCCTGGAAAGTAAGGGGGAAAGAGAGATTTAATGCATATATATATTGAGGGGGGGGGACATGCAATACATGCTGCGCAGCTGAGGAGGGGCAGGATTTCTGGAAATCACAAGTGAATACTATTGCACTCGGGTCCTACTTGCAGGTTTCCCACAGGCAGTGCTTTTTTTTCCTCTAGAAAAATAGGTGCTGGTACTCACCATGAAGTTCCTACAGTAAGTGCCACACTTTCTAACAACAAAAAAGAGGTTTTATCGTGTTTTTGATATTCTGTTGGGAGCTGCCCAGAGTGGCTGGGGAAACCCAGCCAGATGGGATGGGTATAAATAATAATAATATATTATTATTATTACCCTTGAGTACCCTCTGGAAATCCTGGGATGCGGGTAGTGCTGTGGGTTAAACCACAGAGCCTAGGACTTGCTGATCAGAAAGTTGGCGGTTCGAATCCCTGCGACGGGGTGAGCTCCCGTTGCTCGGTCCCAGCTCCTGCCAACCTAGCAGTTCGAAAGCATGTCAAGGTGCAAGTAGATAAATAGGTACCGCTCCGGCGGTGAGGTAAACGGTGTTTCCGTGTGCTGCTCTGGTTTGCCAGAAGCGGCTTAGTCATGCTCACCACATGACCCGAAAGCTGTACGCTGGCTCCCTTGGCCAATAAAGCGAGATGAGTGCCGCAACCCCAGAGTAGGCCACGACTGGACCTAATGGTCAGGGGTCCCTTTACCTTTATGCCCTGGAAAAAGCACTCTCCACAGCCATCTAGTTGGCCACTGTGGGAACAGGAGGTGGGCCCCGTTTGGCCTGATCCAACAGGGCTCTTTTTATGTTTGTGTGTTTTTATCTGGAAGACACCAGGTTGGCGAAAATTGACTTAGCCAATTGGGGGCGGGGGCGGGCGGGGTGGAGGGCAGGCACAGGGCGTTGCTTCCCGATGGCAAAAGAAACAGATATGCAACCCCAGTACGGCTAATTCAGCATGACCCAGCTACAGAGAGAGGGAAGGGCTGGTGAGGCACCCCCAGATCTCAGCCTGCAAAGTTGGGCACCCCCAGATCTCAGCAACGCTCACCTGTTTGGAAGATGCTGGCAAACAGGGCCAGCAGGAAGATCATGGCGTTAGCAGCGGCAGCAGCAGCAGCAGCAGCAGCAGCAAAGAAGACCCATAGAGCGAAGGGAAGAACTGGGAAGGACGCGCACGCCGGCCGGCAGCGTGGATCGGGAGCGCGCACGCTGATGACGAGAGGGGGAGTCTACTCAAGGGGAAGTAGCAGCACCAGCAGCAGAAGAGATGGGAGATCCCCCTTCTTTCTAAGGCTCCGATCCTGAACACACTTACCTGGAAGGAAGTCCTTTTGGGCATCTGAGCAGTCATAGAGAGGCTTGTGCTCTGACTCTAGTCTTTTGACTGGCGGCGTTTCGCTTTCGCAAGTCTCCAAAGGACGTTTAAAAGTTCTGTGCATCTGCATGTAAGTCTGTGGAGCAGACAGGTTTTCCTGTGCCATTTCATTACTCCGATACCTTTGCTGAAGCAACGTCTTGAAAACAAACGAGCCGCAGCAGCAACATTTTGCCCGGTAAACCTGAACCAGCATTAACCCCACTTCGAACCTGCAATGTGAATCGTGGACGACATCTCTGTGCAGCTGAAGTCGCTGTGTCTCAGCCACGGCCCGCCCTCCCCTCCTTTATTTGCAACCGAGGGAGGTTGCAGTAATCCGGCTATTGCTTTTAAATCAGGAACGGGGAGCCCACCGCCCGCCCCACGTTGTTTGACTACAAGTCCCATCATCGCTGACCATCGGGCCACCCTGACTGGAGCTGATGGGACTTGCGAGTCCCGACCACACATTGTCACTCTACACTTTTCCTATTTCTATGCTGCGTTTCTCTTCCCCTCCCCCCTCCCCGCGTCACTTCCCCTTATCTATAGAGAACAAAAATGTAGAGTCGCACACTTCCGGTCTAAAGATCGAACAACTTCCCCACTGTTCCTTCCCGACTTAAAACAACACGTGGGAAGGCGACGTTTTCACAGCAAGGCCGCGGGTGGGTGGGGAGGGGGGAGGCGCGCGCCAATACCCGCGAACAACGGAGGCTTTTCGTTTCCATGGGGAGTTTAAGGATTCTGCGTGCGCGTGTCACTCTGCAGGTTTTTATCTCTACGTCATCGAAAGCCTGTGGCTTCATTCCCGCAGTAGTAAGTTCGCTTCCCGGTTTGCGCATGTGCAGTGGGAGCCGCGGCTCTTTGACAGCGACTTGTCATGGCGGTTTCTTCAGCGGCTGTTCCGGCTGCGGTGCCGCTGGAGCACGAGAACCAGATCTTCCTGGACCTTTTCCACGACGACGGGCTGGTGGTGTGCGCCCGCGGGCTGGGCATCGACCGCCTCCTCCTGCGCTTCCTCCGCCTTTACTGCGAGCCGGCCAGGCTGGTGCTGGTGCTGAACACCAGCCCGGCAGAGGAGGTAGGCAGAGGCGCCTCGGGGCCCGGGAGGAGCTTCCCTCCGTCTTTGCTATTCGGAGGGGCTGCTCCGCTGCTCAGGGCAGGGGTCCTCACAAGGCAACGTACAAAAAACACCCCCCCCCAAAAAAAACACAAGCCCAGGCACGCAAACAAACAATGGGAAATGGAGAATTGCACCCCTCCCAGATGAGCTGCAAAAGCACCGGTCGAAAGAAAGACTTCTTGAAAGTTCCTTTAAAAGGCACTATATGCGGTGTTTCCCAAGCTTGCTGTTTTCGGACTACATTTCCCGTAATCTCCCAACCACATCAGATGTCAAAGAAATGAACAACTATCTGACGTTTAGAAGACATCTGAAGGCAGCCCTGTTTGGGGAAGTTTTTAATGACTGGTGTTTTCATGTATTTTTAATATTTGGTTGGAAGCTGCCCAGAGTGGCTGGGGAAACCCAGCCAGATGGGCGGGGTATAAATAATAAAATTATTATCATCATCATCATCATCATCATCATCATTATTATCATTATTACTGGTCTTGCCAGCTATGGATGATGGGAGTTGTAGCCCCAAAACAGCTGGAGACCCAAGGTTGGGAGACACTGCACTAGTGCAAGAGATGTGTGAACTTCATGGAAGATGATATGGGGCCAGCACCGAAAAGGGCCTATTCCTAGTGCACCTGCCCGGGGAGGGAGTTACTGGTTTGCGAGTGGTTTTTTTGTTCTTGTTTTTATTACGTATTTTGTGTTTTTTGCTTTGTGTTTTTATGCTGTGAACTGGGGGAAGTTGCCTGTGACTCAGACTGTAACTAAGCTTGAATACACGCATGTCATGAGTCCTGTGGAGCCATCTTGATGGTCGTGTCAAGATAAGGAATGAAAGGAGCTTGAAGGACTGGAGGCCGGTGTTTGGGGAGGAACACAGTGGGTTGGGATGGGCCTCATTCAGGCCTCCTGAGACATCAGAGTTACCCATGGGGATGCAGCAGTTGAAGAGGCTGATCCTGGGGAGGGACCTAGTGCTCTGTCATTCAGCCCAAGCCAGTCTGGCCTCTCGCCCTGCCAGAGCCTTCTCTTCCTTTAATTCCTGCTGGCAAGCCTCTACCTCCAGAGGAGGTGTCAGGTGCCAAATCTAGTTTTGCACAGGTGCTGTTGTCTCCTCCTCTTTAATTTTAGATTCTAATCTCCTTGGAGCAGGGACATGTTCTCTTAAACCAAATGTGAGGAACCTTTGGGTCTCCAGATGTTGCTGAATTACAGCTCCCTTCAGCCCTCAAGAACATGGTCAGTGAATGGACATTTTAGTTCAGCAACATCTGGAGGGGCAAAGGTTCATTAAGCTCTGTAAAACACCAGGCATGCTGACTGTGCTATGTGCATGAGAAATAATAATTGTTTATTTTAAGCATTTCCTTCCCACTTTTCAGCTGACAAGGTCCCCAATGGCAGGTTATGTAAGAGCAATATGAATAATAGGTTTTTAAAATAGCATTTCTGAAACAAAATTAATGTGGTCTATTTAAAGAGCTGATGGTGGTGGTATTTTGCCTTGCTAACTAGATGCTGCTTCCCTTATTCACAGGGCTGTTTGTTCTGTAAGGCAGTGAAAATGTAAATAAAGCACAGGTGTCAGAAACCGAACAAATAAGAAACAGTGGCAGATAAAACCAAAACTTGTATGAAATGACAGAAGAACCTCAGAAAACCAAAGGTGCATTGAAACCAAGCAGTATTCAATCAATATCTGATTCAGGTATAGGGAACCTCTGACTCTCCAGATGTTGATGAACTATATCAGCTCCAGCATGGCCAGTGACCACAGATGATGGGAATTGCAGTACAGCAACATCTGGAAGGGGAAGGGGTTCCCCACACTTGATCTAAATGCAGGTGCCCAGAGGGGGGCACCACTGAAAAGGCCCCGCTGCAGGTCTGGGCCAATCTGACCTGACATTAGGTTGGGAGGACCATGAGCAAAGAGCACAGGTGGTTTCTTGCTCATATAATACTATGAAACAATGAAATTAACTTTTTATACAATGTCATGCATTATTCCTATTTCTAACAGTGTTAATGAAAATTTAAATGCCAGGATCAGACTAAAAGTGCAGAAAAGCAAAACATAACAAAATAAAGTAAAGTAACAGCAACTTTTCTAAAAGTCAGTTTTTAAAAGCAGCAGGTCAAGTCTTTAAGCTTCATCAGAATTATGATTTCATGAAGTGTTGGACTCCAGGCAAACCTTAGGTGCTCTGCCGACTGCTATGCCTACCCTATTGCTGTGGCTCGCTAGCTCTTACACACTAAGAAAGCAATTGAATTGACATTTGTATTTTCATCATGATTCAAAGCATGTTTACTCAGAAGTAAATATTGGTGATTCAGCTATCAGGCAGTGCCTCATCTGCCCTAATGGATCAGCCTGCACTGCTGGTTGAAACTCAGAGCAGGAGCGTTCTGCCGTAACGTCTTGTTGGCAGGTCCCATTGATTACTGAATATTTAATATTGTAATTAATCATAGCTTTTGCACTGCTTCTTACTCTACAGCCGCACAAAGTATCTCCCTCCCCCCTTACTCCACATTGGATTTGTTGTGAATAACCTTATTTTGGTTTTAGGAGTTTTTTATCGACCAGCTGAGGACCGATAACGTAGCTCATCTTCCTCGACGCGTCACAAATGAAATTGCAAGCAGCAACCGCTATGAAGTTTACACCCAAGGGGGTGTCATTTTTGCCACCAGCCGGATTCTGGTGGTGGATTTTCTGACCGACCGAATCCCTTCAGATCTTATCACCGGTAAGATCTTACCACGAGAGAAAGCGGATTCGAACCCTCTTCCCCGCCCACCGCCCAGAATGTTAACGTAATCTAAGTCTAGGCTGAGAAACATGGCTTCCTTGTGCTAACTCATCCACAATTCTGCAGATATAAAGTTTATTGTTGAAATGGCACCTTGCTCTTCTACAATGAAGAGTCTTGTTACACCTCAAAGACTGGGCTGATACCCACACCATACAATTAAAGCATTCATGGACAGTCTTGGGAACTGTAGTTCATTAAGGGTGCTGAGAATTTACCGTCCCCAGGATTCATCAGGGGGGAAGCCTTGACTGTTAAAGAGGAATAAGACTGCTTTAAATAGATGCGGTGTCATAAAAACCTTCTCCCACTAGAGGTCAGTATGACATAAAGCCTTGGTTAGATCCTATGCTGAGCAAGCACAGATTTGTGACCAAGCCATGCAAGTGTCTCTGGAATTTATCCTGCCTAGTGTTCAATTTCCATATGCTGAGAACCAGTGTAGTGTAAGGGATACAGGGTGGAAAAGATGTGGAGAAGCTGGGATTCCAAGTTCAGCCTTGAAGCTCACTCAGGCACCTTGAACCAGTCTGTCTCCTTCAGTCTAACCACCTACAACAGGGATACGGAACTTCAAGCATGAAGCCTGAATGTGGCCCTCCAAGCCGTTCTGCCTGGCCCTTGAGTCTCTCCTCAGAGGATCACATCTCTCTCTGTCCCTGCCTGGTTCCCTCCTGGAGTGTTTCTGCCAGGCTGGAATTTGTCCTTCTGATAACGCCTTACTTCTTTGGCTGGAAAGGGGTGTGCGAATGTGTGCAGAAACTAGCCTAGTGATACAAAGGTAAAATTCAAATTCGCATGTATTGCTCTGCCTTCTTTTGCCACTGGCCTTGCCCTCCACTGAATGTGGGAATGTGACCATCTCAGGCTATAA